AAACTCTACAAATGCTTGGAAGTACAAGTATGGAGCTACACTAATCAGGGATAGTCAGGTGCACTACACACAATTATAATGAAATAATGAATGAAGAATAGGGTGAAAATGAATCACAACTACAAGCAACAGATATGACACCAGGTTGGATTTTACATGTATTTCTCACTCAATTGGTAAATGCAATTTAGCGAGAAGTTGAATAACCCTGCTATGTATAAAATATCTATGCCAACAGGGAGGAGGAGCCTCAAAATCTGTCAAAACATTGAAATCACAGTCCCATGAGGTACACCAAACTTCATAATCCACACTTTGAAGAGAATGCTATCCCTCTCAGCCTACCACCGACACTTGAACACAGAAAATAAGAGACTTTTAAAATGTTGTTTTAGTAAGAGTTTTACAGTAGGCCTACTTGCAACACAATATGGTCATATAAGTACAGAAGATTACAGTTGTTACAAGAGAGTAACAAACACAAAAATGAAGGGTGGGGGAGATAAGATCGATAGACGTTTGATAGAAAAGAAGGAGCAATCCACATCAGAGCACCCGCCAACCTAACAGAGACTAAATAAAGAGGAAAAAGGAGGTGCAACGAAACAATGACAATTGCACCCCAGAGAGGAGAAGGTTCAACAAAAGAAGTAGATCCCATAAATGCTCCAAAATAAACCCTAACCAAATTACCATAGCTGTCCTACTTTCACAGCAAATCCCAGGTCGACAACTGTGCGATATGCTTACAACACATTTGTGAGGCATCGTGGTGAAATCAGGCGCTCGTCAAAATAATGAAATCGAAGAAAGGGGCATTTCCCCCCCCAGTTTTGCAATTTTTATCAGAAGATTGTTTTTTGGCTTAACATCTTTTATTTATGTTCATATGAAAACACATTTCCATGTGAATTTTACTGAAAAACCTTACTTAAAGGCACAAAATATGGAATTTCCAGTTTTCAAGGACTCGTATGCTTTTGAAGTTACCAAATTTTGACGGACATTTTCTCATTAATTTAACCACTGAAACCAGGCTATCCCACCTTCTTCAATCGCAAACATCTCAATTTCTATTCAAGCTTGAAGGATATTTTTTTAAATTGAAAGCAAGGCAAATGAATAAGCTTTCAGATGATATCAATAACTCCACATGCCCAAAAATTGACAAGCGCCTGATTCCACCACGTTATGACACATTTTAGCCCTTACTTTAGACATTGGTAGGGTAATTACCCGTAGGTCTAGTATGTTCTGCTCTCAGAAGACTCAAAGTGCTAAATAAGAAGCTTAAGTCTTTCTTCATGAAAAAACAGAGGTAGGCTACTGAGATTCGTCTGTAGTTAACCTGTAGACCTCCCCATAAAAAGAAAAAAAAAGTGGGCACAAGTGCAAGGGCATTACACGTAGCCAGCAGAAAAATAAAACAATATAGAAAACTTTGGTCTGAACTTACGGGATGGTAAATAAAACATTTTCTGTGCATCCACATTTAAGTTATAATGGAGGTGACCAAAAACCCCAAATGTAACACAGCAACCCACAAAATACCCTGCTTTGGAGGGGAAGTCAAAGCATCTTGTGAGACAGACTGGGATAGACACAAGGTCTCCAGAGGTAAAAGGTACACCAAATGGAGTTAAATGGGCTACACATCATAGCCCTTGCACACAAGCGTTTTGGGTCCATGATCTCTAGTTTAGAGAAAATTGGATTTTTTGCACAGCTGAGAGGACAACAATCAAATAACACTGGCTCTTCATTTAACAAAAAGTCTGGGAGTGTTTTTAGCTTTAGTGAGTTGTTTTTTTAAAGTTTCAGTAGAGGTTTTACGGCGCTCGCAACTGCATAAGGTCATATGAACGCCAAGGGGTGGATGTCAACAGAGAAGTCCTTTTTACGGCACTTGCAACACAAAAAAGTCACAAAGAAAAGAAGTAGGAGAGATAGAGGTGATGAATGTTTTTGTTTTAGTTTGTTTTAGTAGAAGTTTTACGACGTTCACAACAGCATAAGGTCATACGAGCGCCAGAAGATTAGAGGTGTTACAAGGGAGTAACAAACATAAAAAAGAAGGAGGGGGGATAAAGATGATAAGATATTTGATACCAAATATGGACCAAACCACACCAAAGCGTTCGCCAACCACCCACCAACACAAATTTGGCAAAACTTTGAAATCTGAAAGCTGGGGAAATGCTAGAACGATATCCTAAGGGCAGAACACAGCATTGGGTCAAATTTTGTGAAATGTGGAGATAGAACACAGGCATACTGAGGTTACAACATACACTCATATATAACGGATTATCAAGAAGCATACTGACAAACTAACTGCCACATAACAGTCGCTGGAACAAAGAGAGGATAGCAGGTAAGAAAACCCCACAGCAGTAGCAGTCAAGACTAGTTTAGTTTTAGTAAGCGTTTTATGGCACTTACAACACAAATAAGTCATTAAAGATAAGAGGTGTTACTATTACTAGAGAGCAACATGCAAAGAAAAGAAGGTGGAGAGATAAGGACGATAGACTTTTGATAGGAAATAATAAGCAAACCATTCAGAGCACCCACCCAGACTGGTTACATCCTTCACCCACCCAAACCTGAGTACAAACGAGCGTAAGTAAAAGCCCCTTATGAAGCAGTAAGGTCACTTACATTTATGCGCCAGGACAAACCCTCAACACATATGTAACCTCGAGTAAAATTAAAAGAGGCGTGAGAAGAAAGCCAAGACAAAATGGTTAGGTCGGGGTAGCAAGTAGCATACCAGCATCGTCTCACAATAATGGTCAAGCTGCACTACAAAACAGCAAAATGAAAGTGATGAAAAGCAGAGTCAAATACACCAGGTAATTTGTTGCTAACCATAATCAACAGAAGGAATCTAAATCATACCAGTTCAAGACTTGGTCGAGCACATTAAAAACCAATTACTGCCCTTCGGGAAACTACTTGAACTTATGCTGCTGATCTGACAAAGTTTTGAGAGACATTAAAAACACCTTCAACAAATCCCAGAACATGTGAGCAGAACAAAACATACCTAAACTTATAGACAGAACATAAGAATAATGTAGTTCATGGGACATCAGCAAATAAGACCCCACCCCCAATTACAAAGAAACACCTTGCAGAAACGCAAAAGCAAACTTCCCCATATATTCTTTTCCGCAGACACACAAGTACAGAATCAATACACCGAAATACATGCATCTGAAAGGACACCCTGCAGTAACACTTACCCCTAAAGGCAAAGACACAACGTTACACAAAAGACCAGGCAGCAACTTGAGACAATCAACCAGACTTGACGAGACAGCTGAATGTGCTTGTCTGTCCAACAGAGAACACACACAAAACAACCCCAAAACCCACAAAGTACTGTCTGCAATATAGCTGTGTTACCATACCCATTGAAACGTTGTCACATACAGATGTTATAATAAGAATAACAATTGTTTCCCTTCTATTTTCTTGTATATTGACAGATAAACAAAGAGGAACTGGACAGATAAGAAGAGATGAATTGTCAGCTGTCAGCAGCTCAGGAAACTATGGCTCCAAAAACTCAACACTTGTTTAAGTAGATCCCTGCAGAGTAAAAGATGACAATAGAACATGAAGCTTGGAGACACTGACAAAAAGTTCATTTCGACAGTCGAAAAGTTGAACTAAAATCGTTGTCTGACCTTAGTGATAGTGGCGAAAAAAACCCATTTGTGTCATGTCAATCAGGGAGCAAGATAATAGTAAAAGGTCAAGTTCAAAAGAGGCACTCAGGACGAGAAAGGAACGATAGCAAGATAGGAATCCTCACTGCATCCACTGCAAAATAATATACCATGGTTTGAAAACAAATACCAGAGCCAAAGCTATATCATACACATTCTAGGTTTTCCTCTTCCCTGAATGCAAATTAATATTCTTTGTTTTCTGTGGCATTTAAATTTTCAGTTTCAAAATGACACCAAAATTGTATGCAATCTATATAATCGTACTTCAAGCAATCAACCATTTCCCTAAAAAAATTAAATAGGACATTTAATTCATCTCAGACAACGAAATGCATACATACTACTAATAGAAATTTCTTACAAGTTATAAATGAGTGTCATAAGGCATCAGCTTGCTTTACTGCTTGCTCAACCCAAGCAGCTCAGTGAAATGTAAATCAACGCAAGGTAGCAGGGGTATCAAATACTGATATATGTGTTCAATAAAACAAGAATCAGAAAAGAATGTGTAAATCATAAATCAGTTCCATCAGATCTGCAGATAAAGATATGGATCCAGACAATTATGAGACAAGGTAACAAGAATGGCCTCTGGACAGACAATCAGGTCAAGACCAACCTTTTCAGGGTTTCATTTTCATGTGAGAATATTTTCAGAAGCCACTGGGAAGTATTTAAAAATAAAAAAGGGGGACATTGAGTTCAACAAAAAAGACATGAGCTATCATACAAGTGGACACACAAAGCTTATGGCATTTGACATTTCCAGTTATCAAGAAATATCTAGAGACTCCTTCCAGTGTCAGAGTTCCAAAACATGTCAATCATATTAAAGGGCGGAAAAATGCTGCGGCAGAACATGCAAAGCACACACCACAGCAATAACTGCAGCATCCCTTACACCATGCCCAAAACACCAAAGAGTAAGTCAAGACTAAAAAGAAAAGCACTAGGAACATGGCCAAAAAACAATACATCAGCAGCCTTACACTTGATATACCTTGTTTTTACGCTGATTTAGAGCAGCAATATGAAGACTGCAATTCACAAGTGACGAATAATTGTTTGAGCAGACTGCATCTACCATAGTATTGTTTACTCAACACAACATACTCCCGATTGCATTTATAAAGAACAAGCTAACAAAATTACTAACTTTGATCACGGCTTTTTGCTAACTTAGGTCAACAAACTTGCTCAAAAACAAGGACAGAATTAAAAAACACAAGATTGTGAACACAAAGGAAAAGGGAATAGAAATTTTTTTTTTTTGAAGTTCACACAAAGCAAAATGTGGGGAAAAACAAAAATTATTATCACCAGTTCTCTTACTATAAGGCTTAATGCTGAAATTCAACTATTATCCCTCCAGCTTACAAATACACTGCCTTTTACAGTTCATATTTTCACCATTTGCAACTTTATCATGAAATTGAAACATTGCAATAAAGCATAATGACGGCAATGACAAGGGCAGGCATTTTTTCCTGACCATGTGGTAGCAATAAGAGCTGGAATCTGGGGACACGGGCGAAGGGTCTTATTTCCTTTTCCTCTGCTGTTGACGATTAAAATAGGATTGAAATATTTACAATTAATTTTCTAATGGAATCAATGGAATGGACTCCAGAAGTGATATAAATCAAGCCAGTCTAAAACACAATGGACAAGTAATGATATACCTATCTCTCTCCCCTCCCCTGTTTTCCATTTCGTTATAACACAGGTCTATTAATAACGTTAAAAAATGTACTGGCACATTTCATCCTTGGTAGTGAAACTACTCGGTGAAGCATTCCATATTTACAGACTTTTAAAAACACTTTCTTTCACTGCCAGCTGAAAATTTCAAAACACCATATCAACAATAGATTTGTAAGTAGTCCGAGTTTGTGACGGAGATAGAACAATTTCAATTTCTTGATCATCACAGAACACAGTGTGGGGCCGTTGGTAAAAATTTCATTGGACAGGCAACGGTCATCACTTGACTGAGTATTCTTTCTTCAGCCGCAGGACGTCAGCGGAGCTGTACGCACTCGAGCTGGTCTTGGACAAAATGTCGAGGACTCCAGCCACCTCTGCATGGACAGAATGTCAAAAGACAGGGGGTTTTGTTTTTGTTTTGTTTTTAGTTAAGAATGTTATGGCACTTGCAAAACAATTAGGTCAAATAAGTGCCAAAGATTAGAGGTGTTACAGGAGAGTAACAAACACAAAAAATGGAGGAGAGATAAGGATGATAGATATTTGATAGGAAAAAAAGGAGCAAACTACACCAGAGCACCTGCCAAATCACATTTTACAGTTGGAGTACATAAATAAATTCAACAGAAACTATTGCTCTACTCTACAAAATCAAAAATAAAATTTGACAATCTAAAAAAACTAGTAAAATAAAACAACTAAGCTAAAAATATTTGTGCTGTTTTAGGTTCATTTCGCATGTGAGTTGTATTTTACAACAATGAGTCAGCCCCAAAAAAGTAACATTTTGTCGGCAATAGATCAGGATGACCAACACGGAAAAGAAGTAGATGGAGCAGACCCAACAAGAGAGCCCATCAACTACATCTTTCATGGGGATAGAACAGAGACAAACATCTTTAATAAGAAAGACACATTCGGAGGGAAGCCCAGATAATGCTGTCACCCATTACACTCTTAAACCATGGTATCAGGAACAAAAAACAAAAACAAAAAAACCAATGTAGATGTACGCCAGTTTTGGAAACAGCAAGCTGCAAAAAATAGGAGGACATAACTGGTAACCGGTTTCATGAAAATTTTTCAACACGAGATTATAAAACCCCTCAAAAACCTTTCTGATTTGAATGATGACATAAAACAAAAAACTCCCCAAAGTACTTTTTCACTGTGTAATAAAAGCACATCCTGACTCCTGATTTTCTTTGACAACCCACAGATCAACCTGTGCAATGTTTTTTATTTAGAAAGCAATAAAAACGAGTAGATCTATTTCTTCCAGTTAAGTGGTTAGTGCATAGCTTAACTGAAATGTAGACTGACCTTTCTTTTCCTTTGAAGTCATGAACATGGAGACAGTGGAAAAACGGGGCACCTTGCATAAGTTATCCAGAATCTGGTAGCCTTGATCCACTTCACCTGTGAAAAAATTAGACAAATTTAGTTAATAAGCTCTGTAATAGATTTAAGAAATAAAAAAATAGGCAGCATTACAGTGTCGAGTATCCTTTGGTATAATCCACACACGACTCCAAGTATACTCACTCACACATCATTAAAGATTCATAAATTTGGCTCAAGTCAGGCTAAATTGAAACTGATCAGCTATATTCCCATAATACCCTATCACCCTATTATATTTTTAAGATATGCAATCACATTTTTTAACACTATGAGTAAGATAAATCCAATAGAAATAACAGCTCTGATCTATGAAAAACAAAAAAATCATTTCAACACTAGGAAAAAAACCCAAACTACCATCAAAATGTTTGAGTTGCATGTACCACACATACAACAACTTCACCAGTACTGGCACATGTAACACCCACCATGGAAAAAAAAATAACATGGCTTATGATGCAACACTTGTTTTCCTTTTAGTTTTAGTAAAAGTTTTACAGCACTTGCAACACAATAAGGTCATATAAGTGCCGAAGAATAGATCGTTTTACAAGAGAGTAGCATACATAAAAAAGAAGAAGGGGAGATAAGGACGACAGATGTATGATAGGAAAGAATGAGCTAACCACACCAGAGCACCCGCCAACCACCCACACTTGTTTTCCTTGGAACGGTGAAGTGAAACCACCCACTAGACAAAAATAAGGTATTTTCAGACAGAACATTCCAGGACACTGGGGAAAAGAGGTGAAATATACGAGTGTAGGAAAAAATACTATAGCCCAGATAGAAGTGAATAGACACGGAGAAGCAAGCAGTCACATAACTTTCTCATACCAGTAATAATACCATTAACAATAATTCATAAGCTGGAGCTTTAGTTTCAGTTTCAGAAAGTTTTACAGCATTTGCAACAAAATTAGGTCACATAAGTGCAGAAGATTAGAGGTGTTACAAGAGAGTAACAAACACAAAAAAGGAGGAGGGAAGATAAGGACAATATATGTTAGACACTAGAGCACCCACCAACTAAGCTAGAGCAAAAAATAATTTTTTAATCTCATTAATCTAGAGCTAGACATAAAAATAGGGTTGGCTATGTACACTTTCAGGGCTTAATTTTATTGTTTTAAGTCGGAAACACACCCAAGGGAATCATCATCATCAACCGATAAGGGACATGGCCAGAAAGAGTAGAAGAACACAGGATAAAACACATAGTGTACTGAAAAAAATAATGCAAAGCAAACAAAATAACTTACCCTTCAGCACCATTTCTTCATACACACATCGAACAATGATCTGCAACATTTGTCCGTCCAGTTTATTACTGATAACTGAAGAAGAAACAAACAAAAAAAAGTGTGATGACGTGGTGGAATCAGGTGCTCGTCAGTTTTTGGGCATATAGGGTTATTGGTATCTTCATAAAGCTTTTTCATTTGCCTTCCGTTAAGTGAAAAAAATATCCATCTATGTTCAATTGAACGTAAAATATCTGCGATTGAAGGAGGACAAGGTTTGGCAACTTCCATAGCCTAAGAGCCCTTGGAAACAGAAAATTTACATTTTTTGTGCCATTAATCAATGTTTTTCAGTAAAATCCACACAGAAATGTTTTTAAATGGACAGAAAAGATGTTGAGCCAAAAAAAAAAAAAAAATTGGAAAAAAAACTGCCCATTGGCAAAAAGCCGTTTTCTTTCATTTCATTATTTTGACGAGCACCTGATTTCACCACGATGCCTCACAAATGTATATCAACACAGAGGGAATGGCATGGTATAAATCTTTTTGTTTTAGTAAGAGTTTTACAGCACTAGCAAGAAAAATAAGTAATATAAATGCCGAAGATTAGAGGAGTTACAAGAGAGTAAAAAGGAGAGAGATAAGGACGATAGATGTTTGACAAGAAAGAAGGAACAAACTGCACAAGGGCATCTGCCAACCAACTACCCACCGGTATAAATCTACTCTCCCTTTCAACACGGAGATGTAAATAAAGAAATTTTAATATTATGATCTTGGACTGAACATTCATTCCAAATTGGATTGAGCAAAGAGTGTAGAACCATGGAAAATCTTCAAACAAGTGAAGCCCAATAATGTCTACATGTTGTTAGGGACCTTGACCGTGACCATCACTGATTTATTTATAGAGGCAACAGCCATCCATGTCCAGGTGAGTTTTAGCCTCTTTTTCCTGTCTGCAGATTAATATTCTTTTTTCCAATTTATTGGTTCTGCTATGTTGTTAGGGATAAGAACTAGGAATGGAGACGGCAAATCGACGCAACAAAAATATGAGGTCGCAATGAGAACATGTGTTCTACAGCAATATTCAAAAAATGATTAAAGAGAAACTTAGCAGAAAGTGGAGCTTGAAATAAGTATTTTAAAAATAAAAAAAATCAGGAGAGGAAAAGTCATTCTTTCAACACTACTCAAAGCATCCAGTGGCAAATAGCTTCACAAATGAGCTGCAAGTTTCTCTTCACATTTATGCCACCTACATGATAGATTAGAACAGTCTATATTCGGGGGATTTTTTTTTGGGGGGGGAGGGAGTGTGCCTCTCATACATATTTACACATGGCAATGACTTTCGACAGCAGTCTTGTGATGGAGCTCAAAAGGCATCATTACCTTAATGAGCTGCTCTTCAACTTAAAGAAACAGGCACAGATTTAAAAAAAAAAAAAGAATGAATAAAGTCAAAATTGTCTAAGATGGTAAGCTATAGTAAAGGAAAAAAGTGGCCATCTTAGACAGGTGGGTGTCTTACACAGCATAATTATAATATCTTAATCCTATCAGTACCGCCCTGGGGTCATTTTGTACCCCTGGGGATGTACTCTCCACATTTTAGAATACTTCTAGATCTAGTACAAAGATCTCTTAAACACTTTCAGTATTTCTCAAAAAATCATTTTGACAGGCTGCTATGCAAAGCGTACAGATCGGATTAACGAGTAAATTTCCTCTTTGGAAAGCAGTGGCACGGAGTTCCCCACGTCATATGGATACGATAGTAAAACACAACGTATGGATAGGGTTAAAAAATAAAAGGGTAGGAACTAGGAAGGGACTGTTTGTATGGGTGATTGTCTTATACAGGTGGCCATTAGAGCAGGTTCAAGTACCCTCGACTTATTCAATAGTATTACCTGATGCAAGGTCAACAGGAGCGACCTGCCGTAAGATCTCAGCATACGGTTGGATGCCCTGACAAGGCTTTAGAGAGTTCCAGGCTTGGCAAAACTCGTAAGGCGTCGTCTTCATCAGCCGTGGGGCGATGGGTGGCGCCACCGGTGGACTTTGCACCGTCGTCTCAGCAGACTTCTTCTCTGCATTGCCTCCTTTCGATTTGACCCCTAATGAAGGTTGGGACGATTTAGCCCCTCTGAGCTTACTTTGGGATTTCATCTTATCTGAAATGAAAGAAAACGATAATAAGGATTAATGTCATACTACTTTACATAAGCATTATTAACTCTTTTAGTGCCAAGATTTATCAGCACATGGCTGTATAGTGTACTGAATGACAGTGATGTATCAGTGTATGGTACTGAAAGAGTTAAAAGGAACAAAGAATTGAAAACTTAGAATTATCACACTGCAGTCAAACCTGTCCAAGACAACCACCAACTGTCTATGAGAAAAGTGGATATCTGAGGCAGGTTGTTCTCTTGGACAGTGTAATTATAATACAGAAAAAAATGCCAAGGGGGAACGTGGGAAGTAATCGTAAATACGGGTGATCACCTTCGACAGCATCGACTGCAATCTTCTACCAAACCATAGAATTGCATTCAGAACTATGTCAGCACAATAAAGTCCACACAATTATTTTGTGATTGTAAACAGTAGTACGTTTGAGAAATATATATAGAAAAGCACAAAATTGGAAATTAACTTATCGAGACTTAAAACGCTAATAATGCAGCGAAGTCATGTTTCCTTTCAGAAGAAGTTGCACCCTCAAACAGCTCTAGGAGCAAGATCAATTGTGCGTAGTAAGGTATCATGTGAAAAATTTGATCAAACACTGGAGAAAAAAGTATAAAAATAGCATTTAACAGTCTAACAGGGAGTTGTTTTTCAATAGATTACAACCCCCCCCCCCCAAAAAAAATTTTTTTTAAAATAAAGGAACAACCCCCCCCCCACAAAGAGAACGAATCTAAACTTGAATTTTTTTTTTCAAAAAGGGCAAACAAACTAACAGAAACTGTCAAAACAATAATTTGATATGAGCACCCATTTACTGCTTGCCCTGACCAAAAGGCACTACTGCTCACCTCCAGCCTTCACCCTGACAGGTTTTTCCTCCTCTTCCTCATCATCCACCTCCTCGATTTTCATCCTCTTTCTCAGCTTGGTGTCCTGGTCTGGGGCCTGCTTTTTTTGTTTCAGTTTCTCCAGCTCCTAGAAAGAATTCAGGTTTTTTGAGTAACAGTTTTATGTTTTAGTAAGCGTTTTATGGTACTTTCAACACAATTAGGTCATACAAGTGCTGAAGATTAGAGGTGTTACTAAACAGTAATGAACACAAAAAAGAAGGACAGGTGATTTGTTTGTTTTAGTTTGAGCAAAGAGAAGCACATCGACACGATAACGGTCATTTAGTACTGGGAAAAAGTAAGATAGACAAAGTGCCAAAAATGTAGGTGTTTTTATAGAGTAATAGTACATACAAAGTAAAAGAGGAGAAATTAGGACGATAGATATGTTTGATAAAAAAAAAAGAAGGAAACCACATGGGAGTACCTGCCAATCACCCACTCCTGCCATTTGAGTTTTGAGTAAAGAAAAGCACCTCCACACAATAATGGTCATATACCAAAGGGAGAAGCAAGACAATTGATTCTTTTTTTTTTCTTTGGTAAGAGCTTTACGGCACTTGTAACACAATATGGTCATATAAGTGCCGAAGATTAGAGATATTACAAGAGAGCAACTAACACACAGATTAAAAAGGAGAGCTGAGGACGATAGATGTTTGATAGACAGACAGAAACAGCAGAGGAAAAATTAAAAGAAAAAGGTACTACCAGTGGCACCCTCCAACCACCCGCGCATTCCGGGCAAGATGGTGTCAAAAGGTTGGGACATCAACACAGAATTATTTGTAAACACACAGCATACACAGGCACTCTTGGACTGGGGCTCCTATAGCACAGGGGCTAGTGAGCTCAGGCTAACAATAAGGTCAGTTTAGTTTTAGTAAGAGTTTTACTGCACTTGCAACACAATAAGGTCATATAAGTGCCGAAGATTACTAAAGTTGTTACAAGAGAGTAACAAACACAAAAAAGAAGAAGGGGAGAGAAGGACGATAGATGTTTGATAGAAAAGAAGCAAACCACACCACAGCACCCGCCAATCACCCACACAATAAGGTCAAGCATATACGTCAGTGACACTGTGTTAAGGTGAGTGGTCCCTGAGCAAGACACAACAGTCGTAGCTCAAATATGGTGCGCAGCACAGTGGTGACCAGCAATGATGAGTTTGTCAGATTGTCTGCTTTGCTTGTTTGGGTAAAGCCATTTATTGCAGGGAAAGAGAGAGACAGAAAGTCAGAAACAACGGATAGAATGGAAAAAAAAAATTTTTTTTAAATAATAAAAATTTGTTGACCATCATCATCCAGTACCAGATCTGCGACAGACATCGGCGATCATGGTTTTCCATTCATTCTTTTGCTCAAATGCTCTCGGATGTTGACAATACTGCTGTGATATAGAGTGTTATGTGACACTGATGAGTTATTTTATAAATGTCTTGTACTTTTAATTGTAAACTTTATTTCCCTTCAAAGATTAAGAAATGTGGTATCTCATTTTTCAGTTTTATTTCTTCAGAAAAACAAAACTGGATATTTTCGACATTGTTTAATGGCATTGGTGCAACTAGAAATTGGGAAAAGATTCAATATAAAAAAATTCTGCTCCGCAGATTCTCTCTCACCTTCTGTTTACAGTCTCATTATCATATCTATCTGCCGCGCTAAAGCGTAAATCAGTTGCAACACATAGCACATTCTTGACCCCAAAATGACATACCTCTTTGTAGCATTTTTTCACAACCTCCATTTCTTTCTTTGCAGCTGTATTCTTTGGTTCCACCCGAAGGAGATCAATCAAATCTTGAAGACTCTGTTTGTATAGTTGCTGACTCTGACAGAATGATGAAAAATCAAAAAGAATCATGAGAGGATTTCATTTCATCAAGCTGACAGAACTAAATGAACACACTGCCCTAAAAGTTAAATGGGAGTACAAAAACACGCTGATGGCTACATGAAACCCCCCCAGATCAGCTGGTGCTGCACTATAGAGACCATCATAATAAAATTTACTTTCACCAGCAAAACAAGATACCTTCAAATAAAAGATTTGAACTTATAAGTTCTGAAGATGGGGTTATATTGCATTTTTCCTTTAGTATGAAAATGTAAGTTTTTGCATTGGAGATAGGAAAATGAAAAGACCCATTAGCCGTACGATTCCATTGCGTCAATAGCCAATGAGGCTTTTTTAAAAATTGGAAGTTAGAGTTTGAGCTTCAGAAAAGAGAAGTTAGTTTATATAGTTTTAGTAAGAGTTTTTTTTTGCATTGGCGGCATAATAAGGTCATGTAAGAGTACAGACTTAGAGTGGTTCCAAGAGAGTAATAAACACCAAAAAGAAGCAGGCGAAATCAGGAAGATAGATGTTTGATAGGAAAGAGGCAGCAAACTAGTAAAGAGAAGCACATCGACACAACAACAGCTGCTTGGCGAAGGGAATGAGTAAAACATACAGAAACAACAGAGGGAGAGAAAAGAAGTAAAAACAACTGCTGGCACCCTGCAACAAATCATTTTTCCAGGTAGAGCAATTAAAACAAACGTAACACGTTAATGGTTTAATGTTTCTCACACATCCGATAGCATTATGGTGTAATACTGTGGGTTTTTTTTTACACACGACTTTGCTACTGCAATGGAACACATAACACTGGGTGTCTCAAATCACAATTTCAAAGCCTACATGAAACCGAAAAAAAATAAACAACCCTCCCAGCCCATGCAAAATACACTGTGTACTGTGCATGAATAGCAAAGTCAACACTGTAAGCCTGAATTAAAACTGAACCTCTAACTTATTATTGTAAGTAGCTTGAACAACAAGGTGAAACCCCATCACTCAACAGTCGGAGCACACGGTGGGAAGAATGTCTCCAAACGAACAAAAGCTCTCAGTGTTCACTCACCTTTCTCGCTAAAGCTCTCCTGTACAAAGCTTTTGGGTTTGTGGACTGGAAAGACAGCGCTTGATTACAATCTGCCTCTGCCTCTGCAGCCTGTAAAGGAAAAATTCTCCAAGGTCACACACAGTTGAACAAAAGTATCCTTTGACTTTTAGTAAGAGAAACATGTCGACCTGATGATGGTCCTTTAGTGAAGGAAAAAAATAAGACAGACATACAGACAGAAACATTAGGAAAAGAAAAGAAGTAGAAAGTACCAGTGATACTCTTTTGCTCCTTTGGCTAAAGTTCCAAATTTGGAAGACTGAAATTAAGGCAGAAGTAGGTTATGAACACAATCATTCTCAGCAAAAAAGTTCAACATTATTGACACTGAAGATAGAAGAATTCATTTCAAGCCTAAGATAATTACTTTTTTTCCAAACAGAGCGAGCAGTATCTTAAGGGGGATCGCGGGTCGAGTCTAGGGCCTCGGGGACTGATTTTCACTCACTCTGAGCACTTTTTACTTTTGATATTTTCCGATCCCTCATTAGACCTAGATTAAATTGACATTAGTTGCTGAGTGGTCGAAAATGTCCCGTAAGTATCGAGTCTCCTTAAACAGAAATATTACTGAAAAGGGTTCAAAACAACACAAAAAAGTACTTCTTTTACAACCCCCCCCCCCAATTTTCAGAACAAAGCTCTTCTACCTCCTCCAAAATGTTCCAATAACATATGAGTACAGGTAGTTTAAAGCAAGTCAGAAAAGATAATTACCCTATTTAACTAAGAAACTCTGAGAAGATTTTGTTTTATGTTTTGTTATTAGTAAAAGAGTTTTACGAAGATTAGAGGTGCCACAAGAGAGTAACAAACACAAAAACAAAGTGACAGATAAGGACAATGGTAAGAAAGAAAGAACAAATCACATCAGAGCATCTGCCAACCACCCATGAAAATGAAGAAAGGAGCAGAGTACTACAATAAAGGAAGAGGCGAACCCCTCCTCCCCCTCACCTTGTTCAGTTTGAGGTAGCACAAAGCCCTGTTGGTATAGCAGGCCACCTGGTCAGGACACAATGACAAGCATCGAGTGTAGCAAGACGCTGCCTCCACAAACTCCCCCTGATGAGACAAAGATTTAAATTCAAATTTAAAATCACAGACACAATGCTAGCTTACAGTGCTCCGTAAATTTCCATCAATAGACACATAAGTGTTTTACGGCGCTCGCAATTTTTTGGGCTGATATATTTCCAGTCTACCATCTCAGTTCCACAGGGACATACAGCTTGGCAGTTTTGTGAGGTGCTCCAACCCTATCATTAGTCCAATCCTGCTGACAACCAGATACCCCTTTGTAATTAGGTGTACTGAAGAATTATTAACCTGGCAAAGCTGAAGATCAACCTTAACCAATCTAACAATCACAAGCCAAGGAAGTTCGAACAAAAGAGAAGTGGGTAAATATCATAAATGAAACTTTTGTGTTAGGGGGAAAATGTAATATAAAAGAAACAAATAAGGAATCTCACAATCCTCCCTCGAACTACAAGAGCATAAATCACAAGCTCCCCCCCCCCCACAAAAAAACCAAAACCAAACAGGAAAGGTACATTATTAATGTGATAGTTTTGATACATTTCTCAGCAGAAAAAGGGGGTACTGCTTAAATAACAGTCTATTCAGAAGAAGAAATGGCTGCTTAAGTGAGCAGAATATCTGTAATCTGGAATGAAAAGACATTATTCCACATAGTTACAGTTCCTATTGGCTTAAAATACATCCATGTGCTAATGTACATTAACGGTCACTGCCAATCCTCATAGTAATAATAAAAATGCAAATACAAGACATCAGTCACCTAACTCACTTGAATTCTCAGACAGACATGGCAAATAACTCTATAACTTTAAACTGAAAATTGCATTTGCATACGAGATATAACATCCGTATAAAACAGTAACTAACCATCATGGATATCTTTCAGTACAAATGTTGGCATCCCAGATCAAGTCAATTTGTTATAATTCCTTATAATAATTTCAAGACCAATAAATGCTCCTACTACTTATAAACAAACATTCATCACTAGTAAAAAATAGCATCTTATATGTTTCTATTTTTTTTTAAAAAGCCCCCCCCCCTCCCCCAAACCTGTCGAAGACATTTTTTTTGCTATCTCAAATAGAGGATTTATCCATCGTACAGGATGGACCTTCCACTACAATCACCTTCTGCACGTGTTGATTTCCCTTCGTCTTCAACGCTTCAAAAGTTTCTTCTTTGGTGGGGGTTTGTTCTTTTTTCGAAGCTGATGTGCTCTGGCTGCTTCCCTTAGCAGCTCCATCTGTGGCCATTTTATTCTGCTGAGCTATGCTACCCTTATCAGGCTGAGAGGATGCTGGTGGCTCTGAAGCTGACGGTGCAGTGGTAGCAGTCCCAAGTGTAGTGGTCTCTGGTGAGGCTTTTGGACTCGCTGCTGATCAATAGTGGAAAGCAAAACTTTTAGAAAAAGACAGCAGGAAGTTTGTAGCAAATTTTGAAGAGCTTTAACCCGTTTGTGATGTCGGATTTAAAAAAACTTAAATTGCACCCAATTTTTGCTAGAAACGTTTGTGTGCTATTTATCCCAGTCACTTTGCTGTCCCTTTCAAAAATAAAGATTTACACAATTTGTATGATTTCATATTGCATATTTCGAAATCTTTCATTAGTTTTCGGGTAAAATCCTCTATGGTGTATTATAGGATGTGCACTGTAGGAGAGGACAGCATCTTGGCTCATGATTTTTGACATAATAATCTTGGCTCATGATTTTTGACATAATAATATGGCTGACACAAAGGGGATACTGAGAGATGCCAGAGAATCCAAATTTTTACATAGGACTTTTCTGAAAAATCTAGATATTCTGCACCTTCAAAATATAGTTAGCATTTGGCACCTAATTTATGTGTTTGCCATTGTGCCCATCTAGCGAGAAGATGGTTGTTTAAGTAAGAGTTTTACTGCACTTGCGACACAATATTATAAGGTCATATAAGTGTCTAATATGAGAAGTGTTATAGGAGCATAATAAACACAAAAAAGAAGGAGAGATAAGGACACACCAGAGCACCAGCCAACCACCCACAAGAGAAAGACAGGCGGACAGAAACAACAGAGAAAAAGCAAAGAAACATCAACCAGTTGCACCCTTCAACCATCCACAAATACATTAAGTCAATCATAACTCTAAAATGAAATGGCCACCAACATCAATTTAACTGAAAACAACTCCTCCGTGTCACAATATGGACATATGACATGAAAAACCTCAATTTCAGTGAAAAAAATTTATGAATAATAGCAGTAGATAACAACAAACACTTTCATTTTAGATTTAGTAAGAGTTTAACTGCACTGACAACACAATTAGGTCATATTAGTGACGAAGATAAGAAATGTTACTAGAGAGTAACAATCAATTAAAAAAAGGAGAGTTAAGAAAGATAAATGTTTGATGGGAAAGAAGGAGCACACCATACCAGAGCTCCTACCATATGTGCTGAAGATTAGAAGTGTGTCTTAGAGAGTAACAATCAATAAAAAAGGAGAGAAAGAGAAAAGGACGATAGATGTGTGATATGAAAGAGGAAACACACCGCACCAGAGCACCCGCCACACGTGCTGAAGATTAGAAGTGTTACTAGATGAGTAACAATCATTTTAAAAAAGGAGAGATAAGAACGACCCCAGATGTTTGACAGGAAAGAGGGAACACACCACACCAGAGCACCTGATAAACAAACCACTCCTGTACCTACCTGCTGCCTCAGACAGAGACACCGTGGACGACATTGACTTGTGCAGGCCCGCCTGATCCACAATCTCGGGCACTTCCCATGGCTGCACCAGGACAAGGCGAGGGATTTTCTCCCTCCACGCCGCTGAGCCATGCCTCTGTTGCAATGTACTCTGACACCTGGAAAATGTCATTCAAACAAACATTTGTGAAACCAGGATAACTAAAATTTGGAGAGGGGGAAAAAAAAAGACTGGTAACCTACGCACTTGATTACCTAACCCCCCCCCCCCCCCCCCAAAAAAAAAAAAAAAAAAAAAAACCATACACAAAAAAACCCCATCCTGATTAGACTCAAAACATGTACTTTTCACTAAAAATTAAACATTATGCACTCGCAAGGCATTAAAAAAGGAGTCCTTAACATCACAATTCTTGAGGTTACAACAAATTAAGACTTTCCGTATGGAACACAGGAATATGTGCATCAGGTTGTCAACCATTTGTTATCCAACATATACTTGTATATTTAACATATCCCATTCAAGGAAAGTACCAGAGCATACTAAGTGAAGCTATTTCTAATGATAGTTAAGTAATTTCTGAAAATTGGGGCAACTGAACACGTGTGAGAAAATGGTTTGACACAAACCAGAATGAGACCTTGCTATAGTTCAAGCCCACACCTCAAACAGAATCAACCAACCTGGACTCTCTGAATCTAAATTGAAAGGTACTTCCCACATCTACTCTGCTTTCTCGTTAAATACTTCAGTCAACACATGATATTTCTCTTTTATCCGAAGTATGAAAATTTACTTTGCAGATTGCGACCTCAATCTAGACCTTTACACAAATTCACTATACATAAATCAAAAAGTCATCCACCCTGCTTTCTTATTTATGTTCTCCAGTCAATTCCCTTTCCTACTGAAATTTTCTTTCACCTGTAGCATGAAATTGTTTTCACAGTTGCCTATTTCAAAACAAGTGAAAATGCTGCATTTTGGGGGACAACACACAACTGGTAACACATTTGTATGGAACTCAACTGATGAAGCCATTGTGTATGATATTTATGCCAAAGCATATCTACAAAGAAATAGCCAGCTTCTGGCACAAACATAAGCTTTGAAGCCAGCAAATTAATGAAGACACAAGGTTGAGTTTTTTCCAGCCAGATGTTTCCACACATACTTAAGAGTCTACCGGCACCTAAAGGAACATAAATGGCCTCAAGCTGTGTCATTTGTGACGCTGTAGGGGCATCCTAGCCTAATATGCCTTCTGAATCAACAGGGCTTTACAATATATTCTCCTTAAAAAATGTTCTTTTACAATTTTGGTATGGTGAAAACAGCTTATTCGTTTAGGTATGAACAATAATTACAGGGCTCATACACATTCAAAGACATTCTTCCCACCTGCTAGCACCCTGCTGTGCTTGCTGTGTAGACATATCCACACTTAACACATGCTTGTAGTCCACATAGGCATCACCATACCTGCAAAAATGGAATATCATTTAAATCACTGAAACAAAATAAATACAAAAAACAAAAGTTGACAAACGAACCAAATGAGCACAATAGTTATGGGAGCTATATCATCATCAAGAGTAGGCTTCAGACACCATCCGTGCAAAATTCAAAATCAATACATGCCAAACTTGAAAATACTGTAGTCAGTATAAAAAAAAAATAGGGCATCTTCCAAATCAGAATGTAGTAGCCTTAATTTAAAGCTATGGTCCTTATGAAGTAGGAAAACAATCATACATGTAATAATAATTAATCAGTTGCAATGCAATTTGAAGAATGAGCAGTCAATTACCCCAGAGATCTGGCAGGGCGAATACAAAGGTAAAAAAAAGATTTCAACAAGGAATTGAAGGTCATTGAACAACTCACTTCTCTAATGTTTCATAAGCAGCAGCTCTGCGCAGTAAGGCTTTCGCGGAGTGTGGGACGAGCTGCAAGGACTGGCCACAGTCTGACACGGCCGCACTGCAGTTGCCTGTCTTAAGGTGACATGCTGCTCTGTTGCTAAGTAATACTGATATGTTCACTTGTTGATCTTGGTCTGCAGTCCAAAGGAAAATAAAAAGGAAAATAAAACTATTGCCAAATTTTGCTATCATCTTAGGATCTAGCAAATAACTTTGGCCCAGGACAGCATCTGCTTGGCCTGATTTTGCAAATGCAACATGACAACTTTTTTGCATTTTTTTTGGTTGCAGGTTTTGTAAATCTAGATATCAAAATTGCTGAAAAATGTACCTACTGATCATAGTATATCATAAGATAAGTATTTAAATTTAGTTTAGTTTTAGAAAGAGTGTGAAGGCACTTGCAACACAAATAGGTCATATAAGTGCTGAAGATTAGAGGTGTTACTAGAGAGTAACAAACAAAGAAAAGAAAGAGAGATAAGGATGATAGATATTTGACAGGAAAGAAAAGGCATAAAGCACACTAGAGTATCCACCAGCCACCCACTTACATAAGTACATAAGTATAGATAAGGCTTGACCTATGAAATAAAACGCCTTTTTCAGCAGACTTAAAGAAATTATTACCTTATGAAATACACCCAGCTTTTGCTGGCTCAGACTACACCTCTATATTTACAGTTTCTGACTGAACTAACAATACAAGTGTGGATAAAATTCTTATTTCACATAAGAATAAAGCTTTAACACAAGAAAAGGAGTTAGACCTGCGAAAACACATGTTTGACTCAACACACAAAATAGGAACAAGTATCAGTATTTTCTTACCTTTTTCTAACTTTGATATGGCCTTTGAGTACTGCTCCACAGCTTCACCATACTGGCCGCTGCGGAAAAGTTTGTTTCCTTCCTCTTTCAGCGTAAGAACACCTGGTGGCAAAGGCATCTGGACATAGGTTGGCCTCACAAACTGCGAGTTCACAGATGAAGGAGGTGCATCCTCCTTTGCCTGGGCTTCTGATGTAGTCTCCTCTAGTGAAAATGACACTTGGGATGACGGCTGAGATTCTTGAGTTGCTGCGGATGATGATGGTGATGCATTCTCCGACACAGACAACGATGAAGACGATGATGAAGATGACGACAGCGTTGAGGACTGGGCTGCTGCTGATGCTGATGCGGCTTCACTTGCTTTGGCTGGGGGTGATAAGGCACTAGAGTTGGGAGCCTTTTCTTCGGGACTTGTCACTGCCTCACTGGCGGCATTGACCGGAACTTTCTTTGAACACTGTGAGGCGGTATCTTGAACCACCGACTTTCTATCAGCAGTTGAGTTTCCCTGAGGCTCGTTAGGTGTAACAGTGGACCTAGACTGGGCACATTTCTCACTTGTCATTTTCTCCTCCTTTGTTATTTGTTTCTTTTCACTACCACTCGGCTCACCAGCCTTTGTGTCCTCTGGAGGAATTTCAGAAATCTTACATGCACTTGACCGAGCATCCACTTCCTTACTGGATACTTCATCACCTTTGTGTCGACCAAACCCGTTGACCACTGGCTTCTCTACTTCGATAGTTTCAGCTTCTTCTTCTCCACTATCTTCCTCTACTTCCTCAATCACCATCCGCTTTCCCTTTTCCTTCTGTTCCTTCTTCACTTGTTTATGAACTTCCTCAAGCAAACCCTGAACAAAGAGATATACATATATTAAAAATAAATACAGTCAAAACTGTCTAAGACGGCAACCTACTGTTGGGGAGAAAAGTGGCTGCCCCACATAGTGTCGTTTTTGTGTTTTAAAAATATCTACAGGAGGAATGGGAAATGGCAGTTTGTACAGGTGATTGTCTTATATAGGTGGCTGATTGAGCAGGTTTCACTCTAAATAAACATATATATACTTTTGCAGTTAAGCTTATCAAATATTCATTATTAAACACCTTGGTGGATTCTAGATAACAAAAACAAATAACCTTTCAAAAATAAAAATAGACATTAAACATCTGTATAATTTTTTTTTTCTCAGCCACATAAACACAAGGCTGCACCAAAAATCTGCAACAACATTTCCTTTAAAAAATGACTGACTACTTTACAGTCCCAATCACAATAACATATATATCCTAGGAAAGGAGGAAGAGGGAGAAAAAGAGGGAAGGAAGGAGGGGAGAAAGAAAGAGGGAGAGAGGGAGAGAGGGGGAGAGGGGGAGAGGGGGAGAGGGGGAGAAAGAAGAGAGAAAACAGCTTTAAGTACAAAATTCAATCCAGCTAAGTTTTCTCTTCTCAGCAAGTAACAATGGATGGTGTAAGGCAATCATTACTGCTTACCTCTGCCTTTTTGTTTTGAGGCTCCAACTTGAGAACTTTCTCAAAGTCTGTCACAGCCTTTTGATAATCCTTTTTACTCTTGTAGGCTGTTCCTCTCCTTAATAATGCTGAAAACGCACATAAAACGTATTTTGGGGGGGGGAACTTACAATACAATTAGGCAATATTAGTGCTGAAGATTAGAGGTGTTACTTAAGAGAAACATATAAAGAAAGGTGGAGGGGAGAAAAGAATGATAAATGTTTCATAAGAAAGAAGAAGCAAACTATACCAGAGCATCTGCCAACCACTCACCAACACCTTATTGAGGGTTGTTTCTAATACTGTTGGTAAATCTATGTGGTATAGATCATTATTTTGTTTGTTTGAGGTGGTAAAGTTGGTAAGTGGCATTTTAAGATGCCAGAAATGGGGACAGAACTAGGCCATATTAAGAGGAAGTAAACAATGCCAAGAACGTGATGTAATGATAATATATCACATTTGTATTGTGCATTTCCACTAGGAAAGTATTTACAATACATGTGCTATAAAGAACATTCCAATAACTAATCCCTCTCTCTCATGCTCTTTCCCCTTCTTCACTCTATTTTACTATTAATACATTGATCACAGAAACATTAGTACTCAGATATTTAAGTTTAAATTACGGACCCTAAACCACAGTAAAACAAACCTTGAGAATAAAAGACATGATACCGTGTAACTCAGACTAGTACAACATGACAGAAAACACCATCCGCTATACTAAACATTTGTCAAGGTAGGGTCTATTATCTATACTCATGCAAAGGACAAGAATAAGGCTGACTAATTGGATCAGACCCCCCCCCAAAAAAAAAAAAAAAAATAAATAAATAAATTTAAAAACAATTTTAATTAATAAATATATCTCTAAAAACTCCCAAAAACAAACAAACGATAAAATAAACAAAAATGTAAAGGCTAAAGTCAAGAAAAGTATTTCTTTGTGCTTGGCTAGATAAAATGACCTTCATTAAGAGGATATACAGCAGAACTTCAAAACAAAAAGTAAGTGTATGAGTTTAACGCCCCAACGCCCAGTTTTGAATTCAAACCACGGCCATCTGCTCTATAGTCAAGCACGACGCCAACTGAGCTAATAGAGCAAACCCCAGAACTCCCATTCCACAAGAATATCTAATCAGTTCTTGAAAAAAGCAGTAGCAGATAATGCTTCAAACTAAATAGAAAGCTAGCTTACCTTTAATGTTGTCAATTTCCAAGTTTAAGACACTGTTGCAGTCTTTGATGGCTTTGTCCCACTTTTCCAGTTTCAAATCTGCCATGATAAAAGTTTACAAAACTGATTACAATGTCAGTCAACGGCATTCAGACAGGGTGGCGAAACAGACAAAAATAAGTTTGAAGAGTTCTTTCCTATTGCTACATACAGTCAAACCTGCCATGACGGACACCTGTACAATACGGTAACCTGTACAAACGACCACTTTTCAATTCCCCCCTTGCGTTCTTACTATATAATCTAACTGTGTAAAACAGTCATCTGTCCAACGCGACGCTTTGTCATAAATTTTGAATCAGCCCCTCACGCTGTAAACGGGCCGTCACAATTCATTCACCTGTCGTTATTGTTAGTCCCTCCAAAGAATGTTTATCCAAGCTGACCAATGGGTAGGCCTAACAATAAACTTTCAACTGCTGGTGAAGGAAGCCTGATCTGTCATAACCTGTAAGCCAAGCCCACAACTCAGGCACAAATGTTATGTGAGGTGACTGGTCACTGTTTTGTTTACCTAATCTGTAACAAAGTAACAATGAACACTGACATGAACTTGAGACATAAGCGTCCCTCGTTCTCCCAGTGGTGGCGACTCGTGTGTTTGTTTTACCATGGAACTCGGTCTTCATCGTCTTAATTACATAATTTTTTAGTTTATTTTACCCTTGCACAAAATAAGCAAGAAAAAGAAAGCTAACCAAAACACAAAACAACAACACAAAAAACCCTTCTTGCACTAACCCCTTCCCCCTTTTTTCAAAAGAAAACAAAAACCCTTTTGAATTAGCTTTATGTCAGTCTAAAGCCAAGGATCAGCACGGGTTTGGACCTCAGAAGAGAAAGATTAACTTTCTTCATTTTGATCAGCACTGCCTAAGACGGCCACCTGTGTTATACGGCTACTTTTTTCCTTGACATTGGGTGGTCATTTTACACAGGTTTGACTGTAATATATAACAAACAATCAAAGCACTCATAAAAAATACAAGAGAAGAAATCTACAATAGAACAATAAGTTCACTATAAATTGTGGATCCTATAATAAATGAAGGAAAGATTTCTTCACTCATTCCATACGAATTGATGAACACTGTTGCGAGTTACACTTACAAATGCTTACGTGGTTGGTTGGAGGGCACCATTAATGAGTCCAACCTCAGCTCTTTCCCTCTCATGTTTCTGTCTATATATACTCTTTTACAGGTAAGGGAATGAGATTATAAAAAGTAAAATCCAGTATTGCAAATACCACCATGTTCAGATTACCTCATCAATAAAATCAGTCGTGCCAATCTTCATCAAGGTAAAAGCAAGTTGATGTATCAGAATATAAGTAAAAAAGTACATTTAGCAACACTAAAAAGCTAATCATATCAAAGTAAAACGTCTTAAAAGACTGCAATTTAAGCTTACAGGCTAAAGCTCTGTTGTTGTAAGATGCTGCCAATGGTGATAAAGAAATGCTCCGAGAATAGTAGGTCACTGACTCTTCATAATCATGGGATCTGAAAGCCTGAACAAAAAATAAATTTCAAAACTGTAAGAATGTATACATACCACTGAAACATGCAAACTGTCAAAAAAATTTTTTAATACATTTGTGGAGAAACCTATAAACCACAATAATATGATAAACTGAAGCCCGTACAAAAATTTTGATTGTAACTGTTGGACAAAAGCTTGAGATATTGTAACAACCAAAGAGACTCATCTTCCTGAGAGCAACATGTGCCGCTTACCAGCTTCTTCATACATCTACACAGTCAACATTATTTGTTCACCACTTTTTCCCAAGAAAACATACCTTCTAAACATTAAAGACTGAAAGTTTTATTGGTTGAAGAACCACCAGGTTCTAGTAGGGGAATGCAAAGAAGAAATAAGGTTCGTTAACACACTTTGAACAAACATCTGGAGAGAGAAAACTGACAGTGGGAAAAAGACTTCACTTCAAATGTAAGAAATCAAAATATCAATATATACTTCGGGACCCATTTCGAAAAAGGTGCATCAAGAAACGTGATCCAGCCTTATTTTATAGCAAACTTTGGGCCCTAATTTATCAATTTTAAGGTAAAAGTCTTGATTAAATGAGTAATAACATACCTCATTGCCTTTGTCCTTTTCCCTGTTGGCTTTCATTTGCTTCTGTTCCTCTGATAAGCCTGGAAAAGAAAGACAAATACTCCAGCTGATTTTTGTCACAAAAGAGACAGTAATATCTTTTTCAAATTTCCAACAATAAAACAACATGCGCAGAAAAGGAATTACAGAAATGAAACTACCTTGGATCCAGGACCATGGGAATCACACAAAACTCACTCTGACCCCAAATGATGTAATCACTTTTAGCTGGAATGTCCATGTTTGACCATATACAAAAAAACAACCGACCAACCAAAAACAGCAACAAAACAAAACTCAGCATACAAAAGACACTCTTCAAACATCCTGCATGCTTGCTATACACACACATAGCTCTCTGTGCACTGCCTAATAACATACAAATGACTTCAATGAAATCAAGTTTAGCTGTCCCTTTCCAATTGCATATCAAAATGAAGTACACGTTACCAACATTGGTAATTATACTGACGTACAATTTTCAGCAATCTGCTTCATAATAGACAGACCTTAATATTATTAAATAACTTTGTAAAAGTAAACACAAATATTTAGTCAGCTAATAGAATATGACATGTCACACAGTCCTTTCTCTAAAATCTTTCAGGATGAAATTTGTATGGGTATATCCCATTCCTGGTGAAGTAGAAAAGAACCCCCCCCCCCCCCCACACACACACACATACACACACAAAAACACAGTGGAAAATAATACCTGTAGCATCAATGTCCATTGCAACGCCATTCAACTTTGACCCTTTTGAGGCCTGTGTATTCTTTTCTTCCTTGTCTACCTTCTCTAGTTCTGCATCAATGTCTACCCTAAAAAAGAAAGAAACAAGAGAAGCATATTTCCTCGTAAATAGGTATAGGGTTGTGAAGAAAAGCTTAAAAAAGAACACAAAAAGTTAGTTTCACAATTCAATTTTTGTCAAAGGTGCTGCTTTTCCGTTATACAACAAGAGCATCATTATTGAGATTTGTCCTCTATTTCTATTCCGATTTTGTTTCGAATAACTGAACAGGAAGCATTCTTCCTTTAACCGGTCATTAGAAGGATTTCCTTACAATAGCAAATGAGCAGTACAAAAGGACAACCAAGACACCACATTTAAATCAGCTATGAGTAGTACAATCACTAACAAATGTTCATGCCAGAGAGAGAGAGAGAAAAAGAGAGGGAGAGGGAGAGGGGGGGGAGAGAGAGGGAGAGAGAGAGAGAGAGAGAGAGAGAGAGAGAGAGAGAGAGAGAGAGAGAGTTAGTTTATTAAATGTACCCCTCATTGTGAGATAAATTAAACTTGTCATTGTGAGATAAATTAAACTTGTCATTGTGAGATAAATTAAACTTGTCATTGTGAACTGCATTACATCTTCTACATAACACCAATCAACTATTTGTCAAGCATAGGCATAAGAACATATGGTCACAGAAAAACTATTCCAAGAGCAGCTGCCACTTACTTATCCCATTCTCTGTAATCCCTGGGCATAACTCTTTTGGCTTTGGCTTCACTTGAGATTTTTTGCTGTGGGAAGGAAATAAAATAAAGCTAGGTACTGAGTAGAACTTGCTGTGGCTTGAAACAATCATTCTGAGTCCATACACCTCGGGGCTTGATTCAGTTCCTGTGATTCAGGTTATTTCACAACGTTTACATTTCTGAATCGTGTCGAACACTACAACTAAAGGGTAAATGTAAAAGTAGTACTTGAACTGAAAGCTGCTGCGTAAGTGCTAGTCATTCCACAAATATATACATTGTTACTATTAGAGAAGACTTGAGTAATTACCTGGAAGTCAACTTTAAAACTTTTATATTTTTATTTATTTCAGTGCATTTAATTTGAACCTTTTTATCATGTACTTTTAGAAATTATTGGGTCATTCCATTCTTCACAACATAATCTTGCAATGCCTGTCTTCTGATGCCCCTTGGATAATTTATATGAAATATAATCACATATATGTACCTTTAAAACTACTTTTGAAGCTTAAGTCTTCTCAACAAGTCATGGCTGCTGCATCCCCCCCCCCCCCCCCCCCTTCCCATAGAATTCGCCACAATCATAGTGTAATAGTGTAACATCAGAACATCAGATAAAAGAAACGGAAAAAAAACCATAATTGCACAAGACCCTTAAAAAAAGTGTCCCTTTCCGATAAAATGTACTTAAGTTTCTAGACAAAGAGAGATGGGACAGACTACAAGAGCACAGTGTTGCAGGCTTATTATAAGAACAAATACTTCCGCTGATATTTAAAAAAAACAACACACACATACAGAAATAGTGCATTTTTTGGCTGTAAATCCAATTTATTCCCAGACAGCGCAAATTAGTAACTGACTTTCAGAAAACAGAATAATTACCTTTTTCCCTTCCAACACAACATTGTTAGAGCGGACAGGAGGTAGATTCTCATCCTGTTCCACAACATCCTCTGGAGTCTTTAAGGTAGCAACGCCTTTTTTAGCGTCTCTGTCCTGCATCGAGTTTGTCCATGACTGCAGAAAGTAGAAGACAAGAAAAGAGAAATATTTAAGTTCCTAGTTTTTCTCAAAATGACTTTCACTGACAGAAGTAACAAAGAGTGTCAGGAAAATAATATTTAAATATTTGAAAGTGCTTGCCGAATGTTTCTATAAATGCAATAAGACCTGACGTCCTTTGAGAGAAACACACTAGTTTGACGAATAGGAAAACACACCACTGAGCAGAATAACAATCAACACATTTAAAGATAGCCATTTGAGTTTTGTCAATTAGAACTATTTTCTATAGACTGGTCACATGCCACATTAGGACTCCATCAGCACGTAAATGAATTTCACCAACAATTGCAAAGAGTACCTCCAAAAAGTCTGGAGTAAAAAGGACACTGTGCCACATATTTACCATTAAATCTTCTTCAATGCTCTTCCAATCGCCGGACCCCAGGTCACCTGGTCTTAGAATAGGGCCATCTTTTCGTAGAGTTCGACTGAAAAGAAACACAATATTATAAGTCTCCATAGTAGAGAGGCTAGTAACAATAATTGTCAAATTAATATCAACAGAGATAAAAATAACTTGAATAAAAGCTCTAAGTAAAAGAATAAAATGAAAGACAAAAAAAAATGTCCTTCGTGCGTATCGAGTCCGTTTCACCTAATCACAAGTTGACAACAGAATCAATGATGTTGACATGACAAACAGATAAGTTTTCTATTTTGGTAATTTTCTTTTGTTTTGGTAAGAGTTTTATGGCGCTTGCAACTGCATAATATCATAATATGAGCGTGCAGGGCACAAGTTGGTTATTTTTACATTAAGCATTTTCAGTTTTGGTAGGAATTAATTTTGAATTTTGTGCGGGTGGCGGCCGAAGCTTTCTCTTATCGATTTTAGGACCCCAAAGGGATCTTTAATGTGCACAACTTGCGTACTATACCTCCGAGATTTTTTCGCCCTTATCCAAGAAGGTTAAGTGTTCAATGTTACCAACCCTAAGATCAGGGGTGTGGCTGAAAGACAGCAATTAGAAGGAGCCAGGAGTAGCAGTAGAAAGAGTCAGGAGCCCAGGAAAGGGGGAAGGGGAACAGAGAGTGAAGATGAAAGCAGATAACAAAACATGACCACAGAGTAGGAAAGGAAGTGAAAGGAGAACATTTTAGAGAAGAAATTTTTTTTTCGTGGCTTTCAGGTTTCCAACCCGAGACCTATTGAATGAGAGGTGAACATCATATTGCAAGACCATGAGAGCCCCCAGATAGCTTTTGGTTTCCAGTGGCATTCAAAGTAATTTCAAACATATGAACCCCCCCCCTCTCTTTTTTAATTCTTTATGATTCCTCTAATAATAAAAAGTTAGTAGTACAACTGCCTCTCAAATTAATCTGAGCAGAAAATAATGAAGAGAGGCAAGTATTGGCCAAGTGGGTCCTTCACTTGTGAATTATGGGATGAGACTATGAGACTTACCTTTTGGGGCTTAGCTCACCCAGTCGTTTCTCTGCATACCTTTCTAGGTCAGGGTACTTTCCCTCCTCACCTGACCTGAAATAAAGCAGTAATAATTTAGTTCTTTTTAGTGAAAAGTAAGATGGAAAGTACATTAGAACACAGATGATTGTGTTGACAACCGTAGAACACTGAAGAGCCATATAGGTAGGGCCAAAGAGTGGACTCATTCAGGAGAAATTTTTTACCTCAAATCTTCATGACACTTAACATTTTTGGATGGCAGGGTGCATAAATTGTCATTACTTTTAACTTGAGCTCTCGTTTTCGCTACTTTTCAAATTTCATGGATTTTGAAAGGTGAAAATGATATTTCCAGAGAACTCCCAATGAAAAATATACATGGGAGAGAGCATTACCTATCGCAAACAGGTAATAAAGTCAATTTTAACAAATGTTCATACCAAAGAACAACACCTGATGGGCAGCTGAACACCTCCTCATGCAAATTCTTTTACACAGGCAAGGTTGTTTAAAAGTAAGAAAGAAAGCATCATTTTTTTTAGCTATAGTATATGATTATGTCACCATTGAAGGATTCAAGCACAATGCACTCATCTTTTTGTTTAAAAAATCACTTTCAGTGCCCAGGACATGAACTAAATTAAAGCTAACCTTGGGACAATGGTGTAATTGTATCCCTTTTGAATGTAACTAAATAGCATTTTAACCTCTGAGTAAAAGTGTATACTGCCGAACCTGTGTAAGACGGAATCGCAAGGGAGCTAGAAAAAAATTTCGTCTTAAATATTTTCCTTCTTAGACTGGGAATTTACGGGGGAGATGGAGGGGGGTTTCAAACGCCCAGCTGGTGGGATCAAGGGTCGCTTGTCTTGTTGGCAAACAGAGGTCAAAACTTCACACCTCTAAACTGCTGTTCTCTCTCATAATGACATGTGTCAGTCTTACTTTCAATTACCATCAGTGCTTGCATTTCATAGGACCACTGTTTGACCTATTAAAAACAGAAACGCTTGAACATCTTTGCTTCAACCCTGAGCCCCACCCATCGGTGTAACAAGCACAGTCAACCAAAGCCACCCATCACTGCCATGTAACGATTCGAGGAACTCTTTTTTGGGTTGGCCGTAAGATCAGTGCGGCGGGCATTGGTCAAATTAAGTTGACACTTCTGATTTCTGGCTACCCAGGAAAGTTTCTGTCGAGGCTCGCTACTTGAGCACTTTCACTGGCACCTGGGAGATTTCATGCCCACACCACCCTGATAATCTTTATCATTCAGGGCTCACATAGATGGGGTAACATCTATCCCCAAATTGCACCCCTACTCCGCTTCCTCGCCCGGCGGCACTAAACTTGAGTTTTGTTTCAAAGAGAGAGAGAGAAATCAGGCTGAGCGGACAAAGCATTTTCTGTCTACACAGGTAAAACCCTTGGAAGGGAGCGGATTTTTCTTTCTGTTTCCGTGTTCGACAGGTTTCCGCTTTATACAGGTAACTAAAGAGGAATTTATAAAGTGGGGGAGCGGGGAGATTCCGTTAAGACAGGTTTCCGTTTTACACAGCTTTCCGTTAAGGCAGGTTCGACTGTATATTAAAGTTAACATTTGCAGATGGAGCTGAAACCAGAGATTAAAAAGAAAAACCTCTGACCTTCAATGTTAAAGAAAAACTGCGATACTTGTGCACGTAATAAATCTAGAATCAAATTACACAAACTTGCTTACCTCAAGACGTTCACAATCTTTTCCAGCTCTTTGACATTGGTACATTTATCAATGTAGCTGTAGTCTAGATGAGATAGGGGGAGATTGAATTTCTTTGTTGTTTGTGCTTCCAAATGGATATTTGAACTCATTATGCCTGTTGTAAGAAAAGAAATTTCAAACAGCATTAAAACATTGATCAAGAAATCTCATGATAATGATAAAGCTGAAATGGTAGGCCGTTTAAGCTATATATGTGAGGCATCGGGGTGAAATCAGGCGCTCGTTTAAATAATCAAATCAAAGAAACCGGAATTTTTCCACCCATCTGCAATTTCTATCGAATTTAGTTTTTTGGGCTCAACACCTTTTATATCCATTTAAAAACACATTTATGGGTGAATTTTACTGAAAAACGTTGACGAAAGGCACAAACCTGTAAATTTGTAGTCTCCAAAAACTCTGAAGCTTTGGAAGTCACCAAACTTTAGCAACCATTTTCTTGCTAATTTTATCTCTGAAACCAGGTGACCCCTGCCCCATCCTCCTTCAATCACAAATATCTTGACTTGTATTCAAGACAGATTCTATGAGTGTTTTTTCCACCGATAGACAGGCAAATGAACCAGCTTTAAGATTATACACCAATAACTCTACATGCCCAAAAATTGACGAGTGCCTGGTTCCACCATGTCAGGACACATATGGCTCCTCTTATTTCTCAGCCTCATAAATCATTGCAACGCACAAACTTCTGTGAAACTACAATTTGAACTGGTATATGCACAAATGTGGACGGTATATTGTCAATATAACATAATAATTGGAAAATATAAAGATAAAGATGGACTTAAGACTTGTATTGAAAGAGGAAAATTTGGCAAATCATATTTTAAACTGACATTTCAAAAGACACACACATGATGAAACCTTTGCTTCCATGTTGGCTAGATGGATTTGAATTTGATTTATCTTTAATACGGTACTTTATTATATTTAGATGGTTAATTTTAACTGTCACTCCCAAACACAAATGCTCTACTTTGGGGGTCGAACTGCAGTATTATTTTCTGCAGATAGATGGCCCTTAAAAGTACCATGAATCCATTATTTTCAAGAAAATTTAAAACCTAAATGCAAAGCATCAACTTATGGGGAAAAACAGCCCCTGTAACCCCTCCTCGATTTTTTTTTCTGTCAGAGGGGCCAGGCCTATTGGAAATAATAGAGTAGAGTTGGGTAACTTCGCCCCTCTCAGTTGGCTCGCTACTAAACAAGCCTACACCCCTTCTATGCTCAACGTACATGACCCCCGTTTCGTCTGAAACTTTTCGAAGCCTATGAAAATGCAGATGGTCAACTGATTGGTTTGCTTGCAAGTCGTACTTCACCTGCTTCCTTCTTTTTTCAAGTGGATGTGGTGACGGGGAACTTCTCCACCACAACGGTGAAATTTGCCAGTCCTTGGAAAATCCAATCCTATTTTGTTACATGTAGATAATTCAACACATGTAAAAACTGATCTTCGTTTACAGAGAAACCAGCATTTTCAGCTGCAATCTCTTTATTTAATCAACAAATTTATTTGTCTCCCTCCCAGCCCTCATTTCAAAAGTAGATCGACCAGAAACATGGTCGGCAAGAGGTTTTCTGGGAACACCAAATTCTCAGGCTGACCCAAAGCAGCTTTGTCCACCTTAAAAACAGCTTCAAAAGCTTTCTCCAAATCACTTTCTATTATAAAGTTTAAAAAGTATACTTGTTATTGATTCCCTTACTTGATTTCCCCATAATAAAAGAGGCAAATCTAAGTAAAATTAAAAATAACAAAAAGGAAAATCAATAGATCTGCGTGGCGAAGTTCCTAAACAATAGAGGCGAATTTCTCTGACAAAGTGTAGAATATGACAAGCACAATTTTTCGACAGTAAAAGGGCATACAATGCATAGAAACGACAATAAAAAGCAGCAAAATAATGTTTTAATCATTAAAGCAGTTTCAACACAATTTGAGTAAAAGTTATGTGTACAGCAACGATAGTAAGCAGTAGACACAAAATAAAAATAGCACAGAATCAGCAGAGATAGGGCAAGAGAGGAGAAAAGCCGGAAGACACATAGTTAAAACACCGCGATGGTTTTCAATATTTTCATCATAACAATTTTTCTGATTGGTTGATCAATGGACAAAGAATTGTTTCTGGACCAAAGTAACTCTTGAACTCTTCTTCGGTTGGTATTTGATTCCTATCTTAAATGGGGGGGGAGGCAGGAGGCGAATTTACCCTCCTGGTGAAAATACCCGTATCTACTCTCTATGCGATTAAACTTTGAGTGAATAGTTCAAATAAAAACCATCAAATATTTTTCAATGTGCGACGAATAGTCAATAAATTCATGCAAAACGGATGGACTCTTCTAAAAGGCTATACCCAAGCATGAGATGATAGTGAAAGTAAAATATTACCTCTAGGCCTACAATGGAAGAAATTATAAATCCAGTCTCGACTAAGCTTTTCAGTGTAGTAGGTTCTACAGCATAATTCAATAGCAAACAGGTTTTGAACAGTACTAGAAGGCTAAAATAATTTAACTCATTTTAAAGAGGCAAAAGTAATATCTCTAGTAAATTTATTAGTATGTGTATCCTATGGAAGGAAAAGCAGAGGAGTTCTGTGGGGGGCCGGCACTTACAGTGTGACAAAGTCCACTGAGTAAACAAGAGTTAGCATGCGTGCAAACCAAAAATCTTCTAGCCGCACAGTAGCTACGCCGCGAAAATATTGTCTCTTTACAACTAAAGAGTCTGAACACCAAAAGCCATGGGCTAGCTCCACATGCTCACAAGCAAACAGCTTGGTATGAGCAGCAGAAAATATCTGTGTATTTATTGTCACTCAAATCGAGCCTCGCTGAGACCCAGATTTTCTTGCCAAAGTAAGATTTTTAAAAAGGCATGACATGACGGCTCTCGCGAATCATAATTTCCACTTCCACACACTGAAATTCACCCAACATCATGGACGACAACAGAACACTGGAGTTTATTTCACTGTTCCAAGAATGCTCAACTTTTGTGGAGGAAACAAGACAAAAATTTTAGGAAACAGAAGAATGTAAGGAGAAAAAGGTTTCAAGAGCTAGCATTATTATAAGGATGAATGGAATGTCACAGAATTAACACGCTCTTCCTTTTTCCTTCCTCCCTCCCTCCCCTTCCTTTATTCCCCCCTCCCCCTTTCTTCAAATTTTCTTCCTTCCTACCTCCCTCTTTCCTTCCTTCCTTCCTTCCTTCTTTACCTCCCTCACCCTATTCCCCCCTCCCTTCCTTCTTTTCTTCCTTCCTTCCCTCATCTGGAGTGCTGGTCATTTTCGTCAATACTGAACTGATGTATGTAGGCCTAAAAATGATGTAGTACTCACTGCCCAACTAACCGCAAGCTACTCTAGCATATAAGGCTCGGTAAATGTTTGAGCACACGATTTTTGTTGTGAACAGACAAGCTTTCACTTTCATCCATCCTTGGGCTAGCTAACAGCAAGTGCTAGACTCTAGCAGTCGGTTTGCTGTCGCAGCTTTTGATGTGCACACTCGAGCTTGACTGCTCGCTTATAAATAATATAACAGCACCGTGCCGCGGCGCAGCTATAGCTCGGCTTACGGCTTTTGGTCTGCACGCACCGTAAGGGTTACAGTTTGGGTGTAAAGGCCGGTTAGGGTTAGGGTTACTCCGCTAAAGAAAAGTCCCCTCTCTTTATTTATTATATATATGGTCTTTTGTGTGTTGTTGGTCTGCTGGCCCTTTGCGGAACTTCTTCCCCTACACTTTGTCACCCTTGGTAATAAGAGGAGACATCAAATAGCTGTCATGAACTCCTGACTAGGACTACGATAGAGTGTTAGTGAAGTCAGTTAATATGAAATGAGAATAAAATGAAACACACACGAAAAAATATTGACTCCGAAATTCAGACCATTCACTCAGTGCTTAGTACTTGGTGAGACCATGCATAGCTCAAATGGTGCACATTGAGGGCTTATTACTGATAGGATGGCTTCCGAAAATATTTTTCTTCCCGTGGTACATAAAAAATGACGCCCAAAAACACCACTGAGTCAATTACACATCGAAAATGTGAATACTCACTTACTTCACGCCGTGGTTTCCAAGGTGGAAGTGACGCTTCTTTGGCTCACTCGATCAGATTTTGAGGTTCTCGCGAGATGTTGAAAAGCCTACCAAACATGGCCGCTATCATTTGGCTAGTAAATGCGTAGCGAGCAATGATAATGTTTTCTCTCTTTTCGTTCTCACCTGCATTGTTAATGGATTGTTTGTAATTTTGACCGTTTTGTCAGTGGTCTGAAACAACCTGTATATAATTTACCTTGTACTGTCATCGTCAGCTGTGAAAACGGTGAGTGCCAGCTCAAAATCTTCTTAGTGTAGATCTACACCCACATTTCGGACCGATCAAATTTCGAACCCATTTCAAGTTGTTGCACAGTGCAACATTTCTTGTACACTAGATCTAATCGAAGAGTTTTTTGTCTACAAGTTTACATCATGTATGTCGTATACTAACCCCTGCACTGATCGTTGTTTAATGTTTGAAGGTAACGCCAACGATCGTTCTGAAAATCACATGCTCTCACTCTGAGACTAAGACTGATGAGTAACTTAAGAGTTGGTTGTCGTCCTAAAAAAAGTGTGTGTATGGTTATCATTCTAGATCTAGTATTTTCTGGAGTCCCGTAGATATCTAGATCTAGATCTATATTAGATCTAGATATCTAGATCTAGATATCTAGAACTAGAAGTCTAGCTAGATCTTGATTCCTGAACATGAATTAATCTGAAAATCCAGATTTCCACTTTTATAGAAAAAGTCTCTCTCATGATTTATAATTTAAAAATGGAAATTGCCTAGGCCTAGCCCTGTCAATATCATCCAACTGACTCAGTGACTGCCTTCTCTGACTCTTGACTTCTAAGTCTAGATCTAGACTCTGATAATCATTGTTTTTATCTCTGACTATCTAGAGAGGCCACCTCTATTCTCACCCGGGGTGAGAATAGTGCAGGCGGGTCTTGTGGCTATTCTCACCCGGTGCGCGTTCAACAAATTTTGCGTTCACCCTAAACCACAGAATTCTACACACTGTGATAAGAGAAAAATTGTAGAATTCTGTGCTGTGAACAAACGTTCCATTACAACTGTACTTGTAGCCTACTAAAAGCGTACAATTTTGTCTGTGGGTAGGGGAGAGAGAGAGTGAGAGAGAGAACAAAACGGTAAAACAAAATGGCGACCCGCGTAGTTCGGCTGGATTCGAAAAGTTAAATAGCCGTAGCATCTTTGTAGACAACCAAATTAATTTACTTTTGTGTTTTAACATCATTTTTTAACTTTGTTTTGGTCAATTTGATCGTCCACACCGATAGACAGTATTCAGAAAGAGACAGAGAGAGAGAGAAGAGGGGAGGAGTTGATCTTGCGAGAACTTCCGGGCGGGTGAGAATAGCCACTTTCCAGAAAAATATAGCTTTTGAACCGATAAAGATATTTTCATAATTTTAAAACTGTTTCTAGTTACACTTTCCTCTGTCACATCAGATGAGATACCCATCGTCTACAACAATTGAATTTAAAAAAAAATCAAATTGCCTAGTTATCATTAATAATTTCTAGGAGTGGGTTTGTGATACCACTACCACACCTGATACTGTGGGCAGGCTCTTGAAGTTATACTCAGAATGGGTTTATAAAGTTTCAGAGTGAAAAATTGTTAAATTTATTTTTAAGTTGGTATCTGTGTTTCCTTGACCAGACCATTTACAGGCGACATCAGTTATGATGAGTCATTAAACTGGTGGTGTAGATGCACCCTAAATTTTGAATATATTTTTTTTCTAACAGATGTCTCTGAAGCCTCGACGAGTGGATTTTGATGCAACATGGAAACTGCTCAGGGAGACGTTAGAAGGCGTTATTACATGTGGATCTGTCCAGAGAGTGACATGGAATGATCGTTTCTCATATCCTTGAAGCTGAGATTATTTATGTGTCTTCCTTTTATTTTTCCCTAAAGATTTTGGCAGGATTTTCTTTTGTATAGAAATATTGTCACTTTCTGATAAAGGTTCATGCTGTTTTGCAAGGGTGTGTGAAATCCTTTCTCAGTGACAAACAGTTTATTTTGTAAAAATTTCAGTTCTATATTATAATGCTTTCAAATTTTGCTATGGACTTTAGTGCTTACTTTTTAAGTATGTGAAGTCGTTGTTCGGTTGCTTTGTTGATGTTTGTTTTTTCAAGTTCAAATCTCTGCCTCTTTCACCTTGATATTGGCTGCTAGGAATGACTCTCCGCCTGTCTCTGTTCCGGGCCATCTTCTCTTCAGCCAGCTGTGACCTATTTTTGGCCTTCTTCTTTTCCACCGCCTTTGGGATTTTATCTAAGGATTTGCTTTGTCACATTGTGGGCTGGCTTCGCAATCTTGAGTGTGCCCTATACACAACCATCTTCTTTTTTGGTTTGTTGTTGTTTGTTTTTGCGTGACTGCATTTCCTATTTTTGGAAAATGGTGAATTATATTTTTGTCATTGTTTTGATTGTACTTACAAGCACTGCTTTTGGAAAGCTCATGTTTTAGATATGTAGATCAATCAAAGTTCGCTAACTCCTGAGTCAGATGTAGAACTATCACTCTTACAAACAAGTATCACCGTTGTAGTCTCACTAGTCTACAATTTATTAGATTTTTCCTCCTAGTCAGTTGAACTTTCAGGACACTCAGAAGTTATGGTGCTTACAGCTGTATTTCCCTGTTTTTTCCTTCGTATTTGACTCAAAGGAGAAACATAATCACAATGAAGAAAGGAAAGTAACTTTGCTTCTTGCAAAGTTTTATTATTTGCAGCTGTTTGGACGGGGGAAATATCTTTGTATATCATCCCACTCATCATTTTAGTAAGAAACTTTGGCGGTTAGGAGGGGACTGTGTGAGTTTAATTTAATTTGTTAATTTAAACCTATTATGTTCCATAATTTTTGCAAGCAGTGTTTTGTCAGTCTGTTCCAACTGATTGTCGGTTGATCACACCGGTGTCGCCCAAGTACATGAAATAAGAAAAAAAGTAACAGAATTGCAATCATGTATGGAGTGCAGTCTCAATTGCAGAGAAGTAATAGGAAATTAGTAATGTGTGAGTGTGGTTTGGTCTTACACACAAAAAAAGCCAGAAGCTTTTTCCATTTGACTATTACTGGGGTACTTCATGAAGGAGGGTTCATAAACACACAAGTGAAAAGCAAAAATAAAGACATTTTTCGTACACGACACAGAAAAAAAAAGAAAAAAAACAACCTAAAAAGAAAGAAAAATAAACTCTGCTTTACAAGTTGATAATGTACTTGGTTATTTTAACATGAGTATGAATTGGGTACACCAGGTAATTAAGTTGTGTGGATGAAACGTTGAAACAGAACTGTGGGAAATATTGGTCCTTAACAAGATCACTGATGTGTATAAGCTGTGTACAGCAGTGCCTGAGCCACACGGAGACAGCTTGTACACCAGCACCAAGGAGTTTTTGGAGGATCATGTTCGTAATTTGCATAAGGTATAGTGCACCTGAGGTTTTCATGAAACAGCTTACCGATTACTCAGTTATTAGAAATAATACTTCACATACTGTACCATTCATGATTTCATTTATTTATAGGGTATGGAACTTGAGCTTTCAAGAGAAGATTAAAAATATATTTGATTTTGCTTGTGGTGACCGAAAGCTGTAGTAGGCAATAACAAAACAAAAATTAAGTAAGGAAAGTTGATCCTTAAACTGAAATTGGATTTTCGTAGTCAGATTTTCATTTTTAGTGATGTTTCATTTTAAATGGTTGTAGATATATATGCACATTTATTTTCTAAATTGTTTGTCTTTCAGGGCTATGTTTATTTATGTTTTTAAGGAATATAAGGGAGTGAGTGTGAACAGGGAGTAAGAAAGCAAGTCTCGATGTTTATATTTGGTCATATTTTGTGTTTTAGGCATATCAGGTTGTGAGTGGGTGTTGGAATGAAGAGGAGGGTGGTCCGTATATATTTGTTACTCATTGCCGTTGCACGCGACTGCATTTTTCTTGTGAGACAAATAATTTGTGGGTGGTTGGCGGGTGGTCTGGTGTGGTTTGCTTCTTTTTTCCTATCAGACATATATTGTCCTAATCTCCCCCTTCTTCTTTTTTATGTGTGTTACTCTTTTGTAACACCTCTAATCTTCTGGGGCTCATATGATATTATGCAGTTGCGAGCACCTTTACTCTACTAAAAAAAGAATTGATCATGGTCTTTGTCATGAAATACCGCTCAACAAAATTAGTGTTTTTGGCAGGACATCGTGGCATCTGGAGAAGACCATATGCTGGAGATGTATCACAAGCACTGGGAGCGTTTCAATACCGGAGCTGGCTACCTCAATCAACTGTATGGGTATGTGCCTTTTTGTTTCACTCTTTTATTGGGCTTAAGGTTTAATGGAACGCCTTTTCAACACCAGTGGTGTTTTATTGGCGGTCTCATGTGACTTGCTCCCTCTGCTTCTTTTCAATGCGACTATTGTCTTTAATGCAATGTGCTCTGTTCCTAGCGGCGTAGTGTATTGTGCTCTTTATTTGTCGTATTGTACGTTCCGTTCTGTTCAGTCATTTGAAGACAACGCATACTTTTTTAAATGTCGTCTGGATCTGTATAAGAGACTGGTATCTCTTAGATAAGAAAACGCTTAGTTTGGAAAAACATTTTTTGTCAGCTTTTGTTATAAGTTTACATTTTAGAATTCTCTTCTGTTTTTCTTTTCTTTTAGTGTGATTCTTGTCTCCTTTTTTTTTCTTGCTTGTTCTAGAAGGCTGCATATAAAACGGCAGATTAACTAATGATGGAACTGTGAAATGAATTATTCAGTACGTTCATTCAAAAGAAAATTAGTTTTGACTTAAAGGGAATTTTACTAAAAGGCAAAGTGTCTGACAAAAAGAGTGATGTTTTCTACTTTTAAAAATAAATATCTTTTTCAGATACCTCAACAACACTTACATCAAGAAGCAGAAGTATTCTGAGGCTGATATGAACTATGGAGTCTTCCCTGTTGATGCAGATTGCCTTCTAGAAATTGGGGAGGTGAGTTCGTATTGTTTTTCAAAGTTGGCTTTCCTCTTTTGTCTGGCTTTAAAGGACTGAAAGAGTTGGGGAAATAAATATTTGTACTGTAAACATGTGTGGATGATGCATGTTGGAGGTAAAATGTCTGTGAACATTTTGTGGTTTGTCCCTTTTTGTTACAAAATTGTCAAGTAATTAAAAATTTTTTTTATTTTGTTTGTTCAAAAATAGAAATATGACTTCAATATTATTTTCAGTTTTTTAAATTTTGGTTGGCTCCTTTCGATGACTACTCTGGGGGGGGGGGGGGGGGGGGGGGGGGGGGGTAATTTAAAAAGGTAAAAAGGAGAGCAAAAAAAGTTACAGAAATAGTGTGTTTCAAGAGCTGAATATTTTGAGCTAGACGGGTTCCCATTGATTATTTTGAGGACTTTTTAGTATGGATCTGTCTTTGAATTATTATTTGTTGTTTTTCCAACAGCTTGCAAAAGACACATGGAAAAATCTCATGATAGATCCCATCAAAAACAAATTGGTCATTTTGATTCTGTCTGAAATTGCCAAGTGAGTATGTTAATGTTTACTTCAGTGTGAGTGTTTAACCAAATTTCTGTCATGTTTTGGTTGAATATATAATAAGAGCATTTGTATCCCGCCTTTCCCCACAGCATGGGCCCAAGGCGTACATAGGAGATTAAAAACCCATTCATACTAACACCATACAAATTCATCATGTGTGCACTTTTTGACAGCAACATTCTTTCAGACAATAAAAAATGCTCATACAAAAAAGGCAAAGGTACTGTCCATTAATTAAAATGTTTCTTAAATAGATGTGTTTTGGTTGAATATATAATGTTATAGTCTTTTCTGAATAATATCAGACCTTTTCTCTTGTATTTTTCTTTCAATTTTACTTGGCCTGGGGTTGGTTTTTTTTTGCTTGTGAGGGGGATGATGAATTTACCCAGCCAAATTTATTTTTTTAAATTGTGGTTTTCTTCTAAGCTTACAGATATATCAGTGGTGCAATGATTAATTTATATACTTTGTCTTTGCATCTTGATTTCCGTTCCCTGATAATGAAGTCAATTTTATTGTCCCCTTGGGGTGCAATGCTGCTTCCCCCAGTCAGTGATGTTGGCCCTGACAGACAGGTGCTGTTGCCTGCCTCTTAATACTTTTCCATCGCAAGGCTCATGCGTAAAAACTTTTGCCATCAAAGGCAAAGGCATTTGGGGGGGAAAATCCAAAGAAACTGGGTAGTAAACATCGCCGATCGGCGAGATGTGATGGCAAAGTGTTCAATGTAAACTGTGGCGGGCGATGGGGCTCAGTCCTCTGAGGTTCAAATTTTATGTTTTATGTAGTTCTGAAGAGCTGATTTGAATAACCTTGTTGCAGAAATGAGCTGTATGATTATGATTGAAATGGTATGCTGAACTTGTTCATCATGTAGTTATACTCTTTTCAATGTTTTGTTTTCAGAGATAGAAATGGCTATGATGTGAACCAGACTGTCATCCATAGTGTGGTAACGTCGTTTGTAGATGTTTCTGAGTACAAGAAAAAATTGCCACTGGAGGTAAATAGTGACAGGAATTTTTTAAACTAGTGTTTGTTGCTAGTTGGATGCTTTTGTGTTTAACCCTTTGAACCTGTTGTACCAGTAGAACTTTTATATTTTCGATTTTCGTAACACCAGTTTTTTTAACCAGTGTTGAGATTGGAGTTGTAGAAAGTGAGTTTGCTTCCGACATATGGGAAAGTCCATGCTAGACGTTTTTAACTTTAAAACCCTCTGTGCACAATGCCCATGTAGTCATTTAGTGCCACGGTATCCTTAAAAAAAATAGTAGTTGTTGAACCAAAGCCAGGAGATATGTCAACATTAGTTTGAAAATATATATTTTTAAATCCTGTGCTTTGTGTTGTGGTTGATGGCCCTAGTCAATGAGAGAATTTAAAAAAACAAGGACTATTGTGTGAAATGATCAGCTGCATGTAGTGATGAACAATGAAGATCAAAGGCTTGTGACACTCCCCATTTGTTTGTTTTGTTTTTGTTTGAGTCGAGCAGACAGCCAATAACAGCTTTTAAAAAAAAAGGACAATGTCAAGCTCACTGAGACTTGTTTCATCACGTTTTTGTTTCTATTACCTATGCATTTATTCTTTCGTAAGAAAAAATAAAAATGAAGGGGGACAGTTAACGGCAGATGATGTTGCATACAATTGTAGCCAATTTTATAGAATGTGGTCAGTGAACAGAAAGACAATGTTAAAGCATGAATTAGTCAACTTTGACCCATGTACATCAGAGTTTGACTGAAATGATTAATCGTCTCACCTCACCATATTTGTTGACATGGCCTACTTTTTTTGGTCTTTTTACAAAGGAGGGAAATGAATTTTTGTTTACTTCCACAGTTGTATCAAGAAGTCTTTGAGATCCAGTTCCTGAAGGAGACTGGGGATTACTACAGACATGAGGCAGCCAGATTAAAAGCGGATTGTTCCTGCTCTGAGTACTTAGAAAAGGTGTGTGACTATTTGATGGTCATTATTTGTGCTGAGAAATGATGAAAGGGGAGTTGTAGAGAAGAAAGTTAACACTTTTCTAAAGGTTGTTGAACTTTTAACATATTTGTCAGATCTTATCTATGTAAACATACAGTAGAAGTGGCAAGCCATGGAAAAGACGGGTAGAGGGGTCAAAGAAATGTTGGACAAAAACAATATAACCATGCAACAGGCAATACTACAAACAAGAGAAAGACGTTTGCTTCTTCTCTCAACACCATAAGGTAACAGAGACAGGAAAAAGTAAAAGTAAGTGTCTACATGAATGTAGACAGAGGTTTCCAAACCTTTTATGGGAGTGCTTGTTTGTGCAATGTTTGTGTATTTATTTATTTTTGAGTAGCTGAGTGAAAGACAGGTGAGAGGGTGAGAGATCTATAGAGAGATAAAGGAGATAGAGCTCGTTCTTATTTATTATTTTGACATTGATGAATGAATTATGGGTAGATAGAGCTCATTCTTATTTATTATTTTAACATTGATGAATGAATTATGGGTACTCTTATTCTTTGTTTTAAAACATATTATGAGCTCTTTCAGTTCTGGTCTACAGATGTGATCCATTTTTGTCATCTTTAAATCCTTGAAGATGAAAGTTTCACTCTCTAAATTATGTTTTCAGCAGTAGAGTATGATTTTATAATGATTGGATGAGGTATTTTGTTTACTGTAGTTTCTTAGAATTTGTGAAACAAAACGAAAATGTTCTCAGTGAAAGATTCAACAGACAGAACTTGTTTTATCACGAACATTATTATGATTGGACTCTTCATGTCGATTGAAAAAATGAAGTAAGTTATAAATAATGTTGTCAGAATTTTCACATTAATAGCATCTTCATTTGTATTTATAGAGTGGGAATCTCTTTTGCAGTTCACCCCCCCTCTTCTCTTTCGACTGACTTGATGAAGGAACCAAATGCTTCTTCAAAGTGATGTAAATCGTATCTAGTTGTTTTCATTGGATTTTACCATTGTACCTCTTTTTGTCCCAGGTTATCCAACGGCTCGACAATGAGAATTTCAGAAGTCGCAAGTTTCTCCACAGTACGTCGTACGCCAAAGTCACACACGAAGTGCAATCCAGAATGGTGGCTGACATCATTGACTTTCTCCACGGGGAGTGCAAAGACATGGTAGTACAGGAGAGACGAAAAGGTTAACATTTTTTGTTTTAAAAATTTATGTGGAGGTACTACTTTTTTTTTGTAATTGCAAAAGTCAGGAAGTCATTGTTGCTTCGAGAGTGTGATATTTAGTATACCAACATGTTTTCATGGATATGTTCTGGAAATCTGGCTAGGCGTTTGTGACATGTCTGTATTTCCGTGGCAGTGTTAACTCCGTGAGGAAGGAAAATATAGATAAGATACACAGCTGTGCCTTACTTCTCAGGAGCTGCTTGGTTGTCATAGTTCTGCACTTTTGCGTGTTAACTTGTGATGAAAGAAAACTTTATATTATCATCTTCACTATTGTTATGAGTGCTTGTTATAAATGTTATTACTTCTGTTGGTGTAAATTACTTGGAAGAGTGTTCGATGTTATAGTCAACATTTATGTGTATTTTGGGACTGATCAATTGATTTTGTCCTTTGTTTTTGTAGCTATTGATATTCTTTGTATTTCAGAATTCTAGATGTAAAATGAAGATACCCATCTCTTGATTTAATTTACTTTTTAAACTCATCTTTATTATTTCTCCCATGAATCATGTGTTTCCTGATCAACTGTGACACGGTTTGCAAGTTTTATCATCTTTTTACCCCAGGCTTGTGGTAGTACATTCTGCCCGATAATTTATTTCTTTGTAAGTGTTGCAATTACTTTTCTTTTTTTTTTATTCGTCATCCTCTTGTTTCTGATTGCAGATTTAACAAACCTGTACATATTATTAAAGCCAATCCACAAGGGACTGGAGGTCTTAGTGCGAGAAGTGGAGGGTCATATCAAACAACAGGGTATGGAGTCGGTGCTCAGCCTGAAGAATGACCCGTCGGTAAGCTATTTATTTGCTCATGATCAGTCTCTTGATGAACGGAGATTAAATAGGAAGCTATAGCAGTAAAAAAAATGTCCTGCAGGTCAGAGTTTAATGCCTCATTCTTAGAACTTATACTCTTTATTAACTTTTTTATTTTAATGGTAAGTGTTTTATGGCGCTTGCAACTGCATAAGGTCATATGAGCGCGCGGGACACACCAAGCATTTTCGGTTGGTAGGAAATTTTGAGTTTTGCCCAGGTTGCAGCTGAAGCCTACTCTTATCGATTTTAGACCACCAAGGGATCTTTAACTTGCGCAACTTGCACAGGGGACCTCCAAGATATCTCACCCTTTTCTGAGAAGGCTAGGTGTAGATCTTTTCTACCAGAAGATCAGGGGTGAGGCTGAAAGACAGCAGTAAGAAGGAGCCAAGGAGTAGCTGTAGAAAAAGGCTGCAGAAAGAGTCAGAAGCCCAGAGGAGGGGACAAAGGGGGTGGGGGCAGAAAGTTGAGACAAAAGCAGACGACAGAACATTGCTAGAGAGCAGGAAAGGAGGTGAATGGAGACAATTTTAGAGAAGAAAATTTTTCGGTTGCTACCCGGATTCGAACCCGGGACCTTTGAATGAGAGGCGAACACCTTAACCTGTAGGTCACGAGAGCCCCCACTTAAACTCTTATGGGATAAGAGCTCGATATAAATGCAGTCTATTTTTATTATTTTCTTTGTGTGGGTTTTTAAAGAGGTATGGGACTGGTAAGCTCGAGTTTCATTTTCAGATCATATTTGTCTCTGGTGTTTCTCAACATTCAAAGTTCCTAGCGTGTCGCAAATAATAATGAGAATTATGATAGCTTTCTCTTGTACTTTCTTGTACTTGAATATCAAGCTTCAGGTGTATTTTGATAAGAAATTATTAAGATTATTACTTTTGTCTCATTTAATAGTGAATAGTGCTCTCAAATTGTGAAGTGTATCAATCACTTGTTAAATTTTTGTGTAAGCGCTAGCCTAACATTTCCTGTAATCATGTTTCTCTTTATATTTCAGTTTGTGGAAGCCATGCTTAAAGTGTACTACAAATTCAAAGAGTTGATAGCAGATGTTTTCAACAATGACCAAGCTTTTACGGGTGCCTTGGACAAAGTAAGATAACTCTTTTATTACTTATTGCTAACCTTTTACTTGAGAATTATTGTGCGCCCCCCCCACCGAAAACCCCCCCCCCCCTTTTGGGAAGGGTGGCTAGAGTAGGAGGGGGAGGCACTTTTTTTTGAGAGGGCAAAGAACGTCATTTGCTGTTGCTCAAACAGTGAGGAGTCCTGGCTGCTCCGAATTTGTGTACCTACCATATGTTAAGAAAATTTACTTTCCATCTGTGGTTGTGTGTGGAGGGGGGGGGGGGGGGGGGGTGGGGGTGGGTAACAAGTTGTCCCACTGTTTTTCAGCAGGAGGTGAAGTAGTACAAATGAACATGTACACACTTAAGCCTATGTTTTATAATGTATCAACTCTACCTTCTCTAATTCTTTCTCCCCACTTCTTTAATCATTTGACAGTGCCAAGAGTTTAGCCATAGCAATTACTTATTTGGTACACATCCCCTTTTTCATGTTTTTTGTTGTTGTTTTTTTGAAGCATAACAATTTATCAAATGTTGGCACATTTTTGCGTAACTTACAAACATGGGCACCAAAATCGATCGGGACACGGGACCACAAAAAAACAATAAAAACATAAAAATTTCTTATTTGGTTGATAAAAGAGCATTTACTCATTAAAAGAACAAAAACAACTCCCGCCTCTCCTTTACCATGACTAATTTTTGCCCCTTTTCTGTCCCCCAGGCCTGCTCAGCTGTGATAAACCATAAAGCAACCAACACCAGAGCACCGAACAGATCTCCAGAACTTGTGAGTAGTGGAAGATATGTGTCGTAACTCAATAGAATCAGGCACTCGTCAATTTTTGAGCATATGGAGTTATTGGTATTGTCTTAAAGCTTGTGGATGTCTTGCTTTTGATGAAAAAAGTACCCATCTATCTTGAATAGAAGTCAGGATTGAAGGAGTTGGGTCGTGTGGTGTCAGAAATACTATTACTTAGTAAATGGCTGCAAATTTTTGACGACTTCGAAACCTCGAGTGTCCATGGTAACTGCAAACTTACCGCTTTTGTGCCTTTTATCAATGTTTTTCAGTAACATCCACATGAAATGTGTTTTTAAATGGACATAAAAGATGTTGAGTAAAAAAACAATTAGATAGAATAGGCGGAAAAATTTCTGATTCTTCAATTTCATTATTTTGACTAGCTCCTGATTTCACCAGGATGCCACACACATGATTTAGTTGGATTTGAACAGTGGCGTCGCGTGGGTTGCAGACAAGGTGGTGCATAATTAGAAAGTGAGCAAATGGGCAATAGGCTTAGTAGCTACTATAAAGATTTCTAAAGAAAGTCAATTAGAATCTGCAAGATATCCTGTAATCTACATCTATCGATATTTACCATTGTTTCTAGATGAAACCGCATTAAAGCTGCAATAAAGTGAAACTATACTAACTACTCAGTATGCTCACAATCTGAGAAGATTTAAAGATTTCTAATTACTTCGTGCAGCACCAGGACTTGCTACACAATAGAGAGAGACAACAGTTTCGATACCCGTTGTTCATTAAGTTACCGTAGACTCTACTAGTGTAGTAGATAAGCTAGTGGAAACTTGGATCAAATTTTTAGCTTGCACCAAATTGGTGCTGCGAAGAGCAGTTTCATGCACCTTTCTTCTTGTGCGGGAAGAATGATACCTAGATTTCTCTACAGTGACAAAAATAACCTTGGTGCAAAGATTTTGCTTGCTCCCAGCAGACACTACCGCAAGCAGTGCGACGAGCATAAACCATCCTCGCTGTCTGTCTCTTCACTTGCGCAGCCAGTGGGTGACGGATCGCAAGGATGTAGTAATGTAGAATGTAGATCAAGAGCACTGACTGGTTTAGAAAATGGGGGGGGGGGGGGGTGAAGGCCAGGGTTAGGTGGAGCGCTTGCACCAATGGCGCCCCCGCCACTGGACTTGAATTATAGTAAGTAAACTGAATGAATGGTCAAAAGGATTTCTCTTTGTAAGATTGAACTTCTTTCCGTTACAGTGGAAAGAAAAGCATAGACATATCGTATAGAGCGGTCAGTTTTGGTCTAAAATGAGTCTTAAGCTCTCTAAAACAATAGATTGCATGCAGCACTGCTGATATCTTTTCTTGCAAGACATGTTCTTGAGCCCCCATACAAGAACGTTGTTTTTCTGGTTTCATGATAATCCTGCCAATGTTTGAGTGAAATGGAAATGGTTGTGTTTTGAAAATAGAGATATACTATGTTGTTCTCGTTGTATCTTTTAGAGAACATAATTTACTGTCTTGATGGTTGACATATTAAGTGTAATGTCAAGGATTGTTCCTCGCTTTAAAAATTTAGGTGATCACATGCAAGTGTTACAACTTAAGGATAGAATATTACAGACATTTATTTTATTGATAAAACTGAATGTCATATTTTTAGGAAACAGTTATTATAAGCCTGTTTGTTTGTTTTTAAAAAATCCTTACAGCTAGCCAAATACTGTGACAGTTTGCTCAAGAAAAGTACAAAAGGTATTGGTGATGCTGAGCTTGACGAGAAGTTGAACGGCAGTATCATCATCTTCAAGTACCTAGATGACAAGGATGTCTTTCAGAGGGTGAGGAATGAGTGTTGTTGATTTTTTTAATGCGGCAGTGCTGGTTTGATTAAATTTCTCGCCATTTTAACTTGTCCAAGGGATGCAAAATTGTGTTGTAAGTTGTTGGTATTGGGGATGGGAGGTATGTCTTCCCCCCTCAGCCAGGGCAGTGCTACTGACTGAAGTGTCTTTATGCCATTCCGAGAAGGGGGATATTAACATGTTCTTATGCACAGTAGAATTGTAAATGGGCTGATTTATCAATGTCATGCTCATACTGTGCCGGAACAACATAGAGGTATCGTCATTTTTCCTCTACTTCTTTTGTATGTCACTTTCTTGTGAACTGCTACTTCCGGGGTGCCTTAATAGTCGAAGCAGACTTTGTGCTGTTGAGGCAAGAGAGGTGAGCAGAGTAAGCTTGATCCCCCGTTTGGATTTCTCTGTTGGCATCCACCCCTTGGGGTTCATATGACCTTATGCATTTGCGAGTGCCGTAAAACCTTACTAAAACAAACAAAAGAAGGTTTGATTTGTGGCACGTGGCTCGCAGCTTTCAAAGAAAATTTTGATGCATTGTTTCATATTCATGAGGGCACAGAATTGAGTTTTATGTTTCAGCTCTCCCTGAAATGATTATTCTCCGTACAAGTTATGGTCATAAGATAAGTCCATTTTCAGATGAAAAAAAAAAATCAAACTTACAGCAGTACCTTCTGGTATCTGTTGTGTAGCCGTTACGCACTTTTCCGTCGCATGCAGAGGACCTGAGTAGCATATCCCTATGAAACCAATCAAGTGAAAAACCAAATTGTTCCCAAACTGTATTTTCATCACAGAGAATCAAGTTAAGAGCAAGCCAAGTCCATCATAATGTGACTTACCTTATTTTACACTTGACTCCTTCAACTGCTACCCACTGTGACTTTCACATATGCCCCGAATGTTACCCTCTCTGTCAAGCACTTTTCAGGAGAGGGTCCGGAGTTACTTCAACGCTTGTAGTGGGTGTGTTGGCAAGTGCTCTGATGTGGTTTGTTCCTTTTTTCCTTTCAAACTTCTATCGGATCTCGCCTCTCTTTATTTGTATGTTATTTTCTAGTAACGCCTCTAACCTTCGACACTTATATCATGACCTAATTTTGTTCCGAGTGCGGAGAACCTCTTATTAAAACAAAGCAACCCTTGTGTGTCCTCAGTTTTATTCTCGCATGCTGGCGAAGCGTCTCATCTACAGCCAGTCGGCCAGCATGGATGCTGAGGAGAGCATGATCACCAGGTTGAAGGTTAGTGATGGCTGGAAAATTTCTTTTAAAATATTGCTGATAAGAGCTCATTGTTGAGTTTAAGATTTTTAAAAAAACTGTTTCAAGTTAAGGGGTTAATTTGAGAAAGAGAAAGGCAATGCTGAAGGACTTGGAAAAAAGTGGGGGGGGGGGATGTTTCCATCATTATTTTAATTTATTCTGTTAAATGTGTTTATATTACTCTATTTTAGATTTCAGCCTTTTCAGAAGTTTTTGTGATTTTAGGAATGTTAACTGCTGTCACAGTAATTTTTAAAGTTTGCCCTCTCTAAGTAGCTCAACTTCACAGGCAGGTTTCAATGAAATGTATGTTGTTTATCATGTTTACAGCAAGCTTGTGGCTATGAGTTCACCAACAAGCTTCATCGGATGTTCACGGATGTCAGCGTCAGTGCAGATCACGTGAACAACTTCACCACCTACTTGCGTTCAAAGAATGAAAGTCTTGGCATTAACTTCAATATCTTAGTCTTTCAGGTGAGAAAGTTATGGCTTGCTGACTGAATGCTAATTTTAAAAAAACAAGCACTAATGCAGAAGATTTTGAGTAGGTTTTTTTTTTTTTTGGGGGGGGGGGTTTGAATACTTTTCATTTGGTTTGTATGTGAAGGCTTTATCGATCTTATAGGGTTGGTGTTATTTTTTTAACCAGCAGTTGTGAAATTTCCAAAGTCTTGAAAGTCTCATTCCTAGCTTGCTTTTTGACAGTTAATTTGATACTTTTATCTGTGTCCTTTTCAATGTGGTCCAGTAAATTCCAGAAGTCTTGCTGGATCTAGATGGGACCAATGTTGTTGAAAAGTGTCCCATTTCAGCAGTGACCCGAAGATCTCACTAAATAATTGGTTGTTCATTTCCTTATGGGTTTTTTTTTATGTTTTGGTGAACTATGTTCTGATGGGGAGGCCTGATGAGCTGTTTCTAGTTTGGGAGGGTTATGGATAATACATCTTTCGATCAAGGGCAGATTAGCTAGGTCATGACAACATTTGAACATTGTAGACAAAAGACTTTTGAGGGTACAGTTTTTCTGACTGTTTGTGGTAAAAATATGTAGTTGCCCTTTTACCAGAAGACATTATTTTCTGTTTATAAATACACTCTTCAGGCTGGTGCATGGCCGATCAATCAGCCTAACAACATTACATTTAACATCCCTATGGAACTGGAGAAAAGTGTGCAGTTGGTGAGTGAAGTGCTTTTTTTTATGCATTTATAATTTTGACTCGATTGTTTTCTTCCAGTTAATATTTCATTGATGTCTGTAATTGTGTAACTATTAATAATAGTTAAAAACCACTTGTTTAGATTTCTCTTGCTTTTTTCTTACAGACTTTTCTAGTTTGTTTGTTTCGTATTCAGCTCGCTCAGAATTGGTCTCAGATTCTTGAATAGAAATCTCGTACCACATCTGCCCCCTTGACAAATTTTTTGAAAATTTTGAATGTTCGTGTTAAAAGATCATGTAAAAACAAGAGATGAACATGCTGTCCAGAATAGAATGTGTTCCTTTGCACTGTCATGTTCATTCTGATGTAGTCTGTGAGTGGTTAGCGGGTGCTCTGGTTAAGTTTGTTCCTGCTGCCTGCTTTCCTATCAAACATTCTGATCATTCTGATCTCTCCTCGTCTTCTTTTATATGTTTGTTACTCTTGTACTTGTAACACTTCTAATCTTTGGCACTTATATGACCTTATTGTGTTGCAAGTGCTGTACTTCACACTGGTTTGATCTTCTCCTTCCTCGTTTTGATGTTGCTGTTCTTTTTGCTTTGTACAGGCCGTATGTGGATTTAAAAAAATTCTACAGACATTTAACTGCTCCTCGGCCCAAATTGTCATTTAATTTTCTAGTTGGTGGGTGCTCGGGTGGGATTTGCTCCTTCAAGCATCTGTCTTCCTCAGCTCTCCTTCTTTTTGGTGTTTGCTACTCTCTTGTAACACCTCTTATCTTATGCACTTTTATGACCGAAGTGTGTTGCAAATATTTTTTACTAAAACTGACAATTTTTAGTTGCCACTATTTGAATGTCAAACAAAGCTCAAGTCTTAATTCATGGCTGTTATGTTTTAGTTTATTAACCATTCTTATAAATATATTCGTCTTGTTTTTCTTTCTCAAGTTTGAGGAATTCTACAGCAAGAAGTTTAGTGGCAGAAAATTGACATGGATGCAGTCTTTAAGTAATGGTAAGTATTTAGATTGGATATACAGTTGAACCTGCTCTAACGGCCACCTGTTTAAGACTATTACCTGTGCAAACAGCCACTTCTCATTTTCCTCTTTGTGTGTTATTTACATTGTAATGATACTTAAAGCCATCAAGCACAACGAGAAATCCAACATCGTGTTCATAGATCAGGAGAAGGCTTTCGACAGAGTAAGCCATGTTAAACTGTGGAAAATTCTTGAAATGTGTGGTGTCAGAGGACAGTTGTTAGACACTGTTAGAGCTCCAAATACCAACAGCACAAATTCAGTAAGAACCAAGGAGGGCAGCGCAAACAAGCTGGAGTACGACAGGGATGCATTTTATTACCCCTCCTTTTTATAATAAATATGGACATTATAACGCTAGACGCAAATAAAAGCTCAGAAAGCCTAATTGAATTTCTGTTTGGAGAGGACCGATCTCTTGTTCATCCAAACCAACGAAACCTCTAAAATCACACCACCGACCTGAACAAGAGCTGCTAGAAATTTGGCATGAGAATAAACACATTAGAAACAAGTTATGAAAGCTAGCCGAAACCATAGTCCCCCTGAACATTCATGTCAATAATAAACAACTAAAACAGGTCAAGGATTTTAAATATCTTGGGAGCCTTTTTTCTGCAGACACAAAACAAAAACCAGTCACTCACAGTAGAAATTTTTATTTCTTTTCGTGTGCCCTGCCAGTGGAGCTGAAGCTGTGTTACCTGAAGAAATCCTACATCGTCACCATGAGCACATTCCAGATGGCCACTCTGTTGCCGTTTGAGAGCTCCGACTCACTGCAATTCTCTGACATTCGCACCAGCACGGGACTGCCCGACCGGGAGCTGTGCAAGCAGCTGCAGACTCTGGTGGACACCAAGATGTTGACCACTGAGGATGAGGTGTGTGTTTGTTTGTGTGTTTGTTGTTTTGAGGATGAGGTGTGTGTTTGTTTGTCTGTTTGTTGTTTTGTTGTGTTTGTTTTGGTTTGGTGTTTTTTTTTGGGGGGGTGGGGAGAGAACAAGTGTCCTTAAAGACATACTGCATACCAGCTGGAGGTGCAACCCCTCTAATGACAATGGTGTGACTAAAAATTTTAAAAACTTGTAAGATGTTTAAAGTAGTGACTCCTTTTTTTTTTTTTTTTACTTCAAATTACTTTGTGGGTGGTTGGCGGATGCTCTGGTGTAGTTTACTCCTTCTTTCCTATCAAACATCTATTGTCCTGATCTCTCCTCCTGTTTTATGTTTGTTGCTCTCTTGTAACACTTCTAATCTTCGGCATTTATATGACCTTATTGTGTTGCAAGTGCCGTAAAACTCTTACTAAAACTAAAAGACTCAAATCACTTTGTGTGTTCAGTGGAGTATTTTGGGAGGGAGGGCACGGATGGGGGATACGGATAAACCCAACAGATGAGCAGCAGCACACCTCTGGGGGTGATACCCCACTAATGATGATGCATCGGCTTTATGACTCAGAAAAACTAGTGATGTATTTATTTTAATGAACCGTCCATCTTCTTTCCTTCTTTCTTCCTTCCCTTTTTGCTCTAAATGACCTTTTGTGTTGACCTTTTGTGTCTAGTGAAAAGTTGTAAAAGAAACAAAAGTCGGATGACGTGAGATGTTCTCAGTATGGCAGTCACTCGAGGTTCAAAACCGGGAAGGTACTGGTACCAAGGGGTACTGATTCTGGGAAGGTGCCAACACCAATTGCTTAACACAGGGAGGTGATGTGCATTTGGAACAAAAGCCTTGATGATGCAACGATAAATCCTATCTGATTTGTTTTACATACACTAGAACTGTCGGGTTTAAAGAACCTTAGTGTCTTTTTGACCAAGTCACCGTACTGTACAGTTACTGTGCAGTGTGTAGAAGCTTTGACATCGGATGTCGGTTGCACAAAACATTGGGGGACTTTGATATATGACATGAAGTTCAAAATTAACAATCAACTAAAGAATAAAACCATGCATGCTTATAATATCTCTTCAGATCAGGTTCCTAGCAAGCCGCTTTGCGTGTTTTGATACTCTGATTGTGAAAATGAAATTAGTGTATAGCTGTGATAAATTACTGCCGAAGTTTAGTCTTGTGCTGCTGCAAATTGTAAAAAGATTTTGGATCCTAGCTCACTTCTCCCAAGTCCGACAAAGATATTTGCAACCCCCCCCCCCCCCCATTTTGATCTCATGTCTTGTAGCCTGACTACAGATGTCGTGATGCTTCTCTTTAATTAAAAATTTCATTTAGTTTTATTCCGCATGCATATACTCATGAATTGTATGTTATTGATTTTTTCAGAAACCAGTTAATGAGACGTCGGTGATAACGCTGAATCTCGCATACAACAATAAAAGAACGAAGTTTAAAATCATGGCAGCAATACAAAAGGAAACTCCCCAGGTGCGTTAACTTGAGAAGTGATACTGCTTTATGAGTTTATGTGACGTATGTGGATTATTACAGGGTGCTAGTGGTAGATCCTACTTGATGTTTTCTAATTGTTTCAAAGTTTTTCAATGTCTCACTTTTTTCACATCCTTTATTACAGTTGGTAGTCATAATCTATAATGTAGTTGTATGGATGTATTTGTAGATAAAAGTGGGATAAGAGAGTAAAGCTACCTTCAGGGGGTGAAATGATGAAATAAGAATGTGCCAGAAAAATTTCATGCTGACCTAATATGTATATATTTGTAACTAAGAAAAATCTTATTTTTTACAAGTAGTTAATGTAAAACCAGACTTAAATTCAGAATCTACCTTCTGAATATAAGTCTTCTTTAATTTTAAGCGTTTGTAAATATAAAAGGTTTTTTAAAGATCTTCAGTTACTTAAAAAGGTTGGGCGAAACCATTCTATCAGAAGAAAGTTGTTATCTCATGTTGGTCCTGTGGCAGCAGCCAGTTCTTTTGTTGACTCCCTAACATTTTGGTCTGCAGTCCTCTTTAGTATTTAGCAAGCATTAAAAAATATTTGAGACGTTTGGCCGAGCTGTATTCTGAGAACTTGTTCCATTCTCATAATGTAAACTTGTGACATTGCTTTTTTTTTTTTTAAACTTCCTTCCTCACAGGAAGTAGAGAGCACACATGCAGCAGTGGATGAAGATCGAAAGTTGTACCTGCAGGCGGCCATTGTGAGGATCATGAAAGCCCGGAAAACCGTGAAACATAATAACTTGATACAAGAGGTATGGATGGATGGTTCTATCTCATGGAAAATTTTGATGCAACAGCTTTCGTTCAGGGGCTGTCATGGTCAAGAGGTTATAGTGTTCGCCTCTCATTCAATAGGTCCCGGGTTCGAAACCTGAGAGCGACGGAAAATTTTCTTGTGTAAAATTTTCTCCTTTCACCCACCTCCTTTTCTGCTCTCTAACCGTGATTTGTCATCTGCTTTCCTCTCCGCTTTCTGGCCACCCCCAGCTTCTGACTCTTTCTGCTGCTACTCCTTGGCTTCTTGCTGCTGTCTTTCAGCCATACCCCTGATCGTAGCGTAGGTAAGGTCTAACACCTAGCCTTCTTGGATAAGGGTGAAACATCATGGAGGTCCAGTGTGCATGTTGCGCTCGTAAAGATCCCTTGGTGGTCCTGAAACCGATAAGAGTAGGCTTTGGCTGCCAGCCTGGCAAAATTCAAAATTCCTACTAAACTGAAAATATATAATGTGTCCCACGTGCTTATATGACCTTATGCAGTTGTGAGTGCCATAAAACACTTGCCAAAACAATAACTGTTATTTGCAGACTTGCTGTTGTAATTTGATGAAAACTCAACTAGTGTATTGTTTAGATTCCAATTTAAGTTATATGTATTTTTCTAACAATTATTGGAGAAAAAAAAACATGGCTCCTTAAAACCTAACAATTTGGTGCAGTATCATTTTTCTTATCGGAGGTGCTTTCATTTTTAAGGGGGTACAGAGTATACCCAGTGTCTACTGACATTGCTTGTGTCCAAGTCGTGAAAAGCCAGTAGCAGTGGTGGTGCTAACTCTTGAAAGTTTTAGGTTCAAGACCTATATTTTGTAGTCAAAATTGTATTTTGTTCTTCCTGGAATTGTTTTTTTTTTCTTTTTCCTGGCTTTTGACAAAATGCACTGATTTCGTAATGATCTAAATTAATAATGGGATGTTTGAATTTCATCATTGGGGGATAAAAAACGTCTGTGCCCCATGTTTATCAGGTTGGTTTGCTGATAGTCCTTCAAATAATATTAATGTCATTGCGTTGATCTGCATTTCCTTTTTCAACGGAACATTTTGTCTCCTCCCTCTCCAGGTGATCAGCCAGTCCCGCAGTAGGTTCACCCCCAGCATCAGTATGATAAAGAAGAGTATTGAGACTCTAATAGAGAAGGCTTATCTAGAGCGCGTGTTTGGCACCACGGATGAGTACAGTTATATAGCATAACCAGCCTGCACACCGAATGATGCTGCAACGGCAGACCTGCAGATCTCCCACGTTCCGACCCAATGAGCAGTAGATCCGGGTGGATGGAGCGTGCAGACCAGACCAGCACCAGGCGCCGGACATCACAGTTCTGGCAGGATAGTAGGTCTCTCTGATAGTAGGGGTGCCACTTTCACAGATATTTCTCCGGAAACTTTGGATGTTCCAAGCTTTTGTTTCAGTCCTGTTTTAAAGGGCGTATTGTCAGAACATATGTTTTTGGTACGCTCCTTTTAGTTCCGAAGGTCTTCTGATAGTTCTTGTGGGCACCCCTATGTTGTAATGCTGCGCAGTGGGTGAGAGAATATGTCTAAATGGTGAACCTGTGACCTCTAATGGGCACTACTTGCAGAGCACAGTGCACCAAGCATTTATCTTTTGCCCCATTACACCGGTCAGTATTCAAGCAGCGTCCCTCACAACCATTCACGTCGCATGAGGTCAGCAGTACTAGTGTGGTGTTGATTACACCCTTTGGTATCTCTATTGGAAATGTTGCTTTTGGACTGGACTGTCAGTAATATTTAGGAATTAGATATATGAAGTTGAAGCCAAGCTATGAATGAATTCAAAGTACATGAATGGCTTTTTGTCCTCATGTACTTTCAAATACTTTGGGAGTTTTTTTAAAACCCTTTTTTATTGTTTATTCTGAGGTCGCAGCATTTTTACATGTGAAAGATTTCCTCTATGTGATTTGAATTCTGGGAGTCTTTTCTTTTCTTATCAATCTGTTTGAACAGAGAAAATGAGCCATTCTCAAAAGGTGAGCGCAGCTCCACCTGTGACAATCGGGGGGGGGGGGGGGGGAGGAGATTTGTATGAAATCAGTCTTCTTTCAATTAAGAACAGACCAAATAGATACTATTGAACAGAAAATCAGCAGGAGTCCACAACTTTATGAAAATTTTGTAGTGATTTGTTTATTTTTGCTGTGTCTTAAAGTGAGTGTCTTGTACAATTCAAAGGCTACTTAAATGAAGTGGAGAAAAAAAAGTTTCAGAACGTAGTTGAAAACATTCCACTGTTGTAATTTCTCTTTAAGTAAAGGGTTTGAAAATGTGTGGACTTGTCATCATGATCATGTATGACATTGGGCACCGCCATTTTGATTGAGCTCTTGGAACCTTTCCACGCGCAGTAATAAAACCTTACTGTTCTTCAAAGTAACTAGATGTTGGTATTTCAGCACGAACGAAGCTCATTTGACTTGTTTTTGCTGAAAAACATCATCCATGTCGGCTATGTGTCAACTGTTACAAATGCAGTGCCCCCAGTACATAGATTTAAGAGGACCTAAAGAAAATGTTCATACTTCCTGTGCGAGCGTGTGAAAATTCGCAAAGATGCCTACAGTACCTTTGAATTGTTTTACAGATAGAAAAGTTCTTTCGGGAAATTCAAATCAAGGGAACATTGTTCAAGTTTACCTTTTGAGAATGGCATAAATCTAAGTTAGTGAAAGGCTGATTTTTGTAAAGGTTATGTTTACCCACCCCACCTGTGTGTCCTGTAAATCCTCATACTGACTGAAGTTGACCGATTGCCAACAATGTAGTTAAAGAAAGTGGTGTGGATTTCTTTCTAGTCTTGTGGATTTTTTGGGTAAGAATCTAAACTCTCTTCACCATGAATCTTTTATTTTTAGGAAGATTGGAGAATTTAGTAATGGTGCAGTCCAGGTTGCTGATGACTTTTAACGTTATTTTCATGATGAATTTGGCTGGGGTACTGGTTCTGGAGGAAGCTGATGAGTAATTTGAAGTTAAAAAATAAAAAGAAAAGAAAAGGGAATTAATAGCAACAACAAAGTTGATCTTAGCCTTTTATTTTAAAGAAAACTTTTTAACACTAGTATTGATTACAAATATTAATTATTCGAATATTTAAGATGTCTTTTTGTAATGTACTGTTAAAGATGGAAGTGATTTATCTGCTTTGAAAAGGTCGCATACCTTGAGGATTTATTTAGGTCAGGGAAAATGAATCTATTTAACAAATTGTTACTACTCTCGTAACAGTTTTTGAGGGACTGCTGGGAGACTGGGGAATGATCTTTAAAAGGACTCGTGGTAGCAGTTAGTCCAGAGATTTTTTTTCTAATGATGAATTTTTGCATATGAAGATAATAATGTTCTTTGGGTCTCTCCTCCCCCCCCCCCCCCAAACAAAAAAATGCTCTTATCTTTCTGGCTGTGGAGAAGACTTGATAGTTTTCTCATTTCGGGGAAGCAGTTGCTGAACTGAGTATGAATTACAAGTCAGGTGCATGGATTAAGACATTTGCAGTAAGGACAGAATGCAGGGTGGGTGGCTTTGTTTACCGATCAGGTTTGAGGTGGTGTGGTTTAAGTCAGACATTTTGATCACTGTCTTTTTTTTTCGGTTTGTTCATACTGCTCCACTTGTTTTTGGAACCATCACTGTCCTGAAGTGTGGTATTAGTTTGTTTGGCCAGCTACGTGCTTTTCTGAGGACGTGAATTTTGTATGATGACGTTTGGTTTTGACAAACTTTGTCACGGAATTTTGTACCATGGCACCTTTGTGAATGTCTGTAGATGTGGTCCTTGGGGGCATGGAATTGTGTGTCAGTCTGATGGCCAATAATAGGGAGACATATTTGTCTGGTTTTCTCAAATTTTCCCGACAGACTCCATGTGTCGTCTGTGAGAGTTCATGTCCAGTTGTATGCTAGTGATGTCAGCAGATCTTTTTATTTTTAAAAATTAGTCCAATTTTTCCTGGGACTTCTACCACTGTCTGCCCTGTCTATATGAGATTGATTAGCTGCGGATGCACTTAGAGTGTATTCGTCTTGTAAAATTTTGTTTTTGGCCATGTTGTTGTAAACCCAAGCTGTTTCATACTCTGAGCATAAATGCTGCACTCAGCTGCACAAGACCATGCCGTAGGCCCTGAGTTTGAGACGAACTTGATGTGAAAATAACGCCTGCTTTGCAGGCATGTTTTTGGGTCAGAGGAGAGAATGCTGGACTAAAGTTTTACTCTATATTATTAGATGTGGGTGGTGGTGATGGGTGGGCTGAAGAGTAGACATATTGTTTGTTTGCCACTGAACAGAGCTTCTGGTTCTTACAGCCGTGTTAAATGATGCTAATAAACTGCTCGCTTTAAACTGCAACTTGTAAGTTTCTTCAAAAGTGAAAAGTACAGTGACAAGGAGAAAATATTTGTGCTTTTTTTTCCCCCCTGTTTTTTTAGGGTTGTTTTTGTTCTTTCTTGTCAACCCACTGCTGCTTTCATAATTCCTTCCCTTTCATTTGTTTTTGTTGTATTTGCTCACAAGACTTTGAGGTCTGTCTCTTTGTTTTATTTATTTTTCTTTTTTTCCCCCCCTTTCTTTCACTAGCAAGGTCCTCTATCTCTTTGTTTGGTTTAGTTCATCTGAGACCTTGTGGAGAGTTTCATTCGTAAAACTGCCATATTTTGAGAGTGTGGAAGATTGTGTATTTATGGTTGAGTATGTCACCTGCACGTGGTTAGTGTGTATATGAGCTATGCTATGAATTGTTTTTGGATGTTTGTATGACGTATGGCAGTGCCAGGGGCCAGTGTGGGCAGCTGGGCAGGGGTTGGTTGTAACATAAAATGTTTTGTGAAGGTTTTGGTAGAGTGTACCCATAGTATGTGGTTTGGCTGGATTTTGGAAAATATTGTATGCGAGAGTGAGGTTACTGTTCTTTTGTTTCTAATAGTAAGAACATTATGATACACTATATATAATATATATATAAATCTATTACTTTAATTAGTTGTGCTTGTAAAAAGAAAGCTCCTTGTCTTGTATAAAATAACCCCTTCTTTTGAAACATGAGAATACATTGCTTTGAAATGGAGAGTTGAGTCTTTGTTTTTCTTTTAGTCTTGCACAGATTATTATGTGACAATTTTTACCACGAATTCCCTCTTTGGGAATGGCCTAAAGACTTTTGGCTATTCCCAAAGGGGGGATATTAACATGCTCTTATGCACAGTAGAATTTTCAATGGGCTGATTTATCAATGTCATGTTCATACTGTGCCGGAACAACAAAGGGGAAATGCTGATTTTTCTTTCCTCATCCTTACTATTGTCATTTTTCCTCTACTTCTTTTGTATGTTTGTCACTCTCCTGTGAACTGCTTTTTCCGGGGTGCCTTGATAGTCGAAGCAGGCTTTGTGAACGGGTGGTTGTGGTTGGCGGGTGGTCTGGTGTGGTTTTCTTCATCTTTCCTATCAAACATCTATCATCTTTATCTCCCCTCTTTCTTTTTTGTGTTTGTTACCCTCTTGTAACACGTGTAATCTTTGGCACTTATATGACCTGATTGTGTTGCAAGTGCCATAAAACACTTACTAAAACTAAAGACTTTGTGCTGTTGAGGCCAGAGAGGTGAGCAGAGTAAGCCCGATTCCCCGTTTGGACTTCTATGTTGACATTTTCCCCTTGGCGCTCATATGACCTTATGCAGTTGAGAGCGCTGTAAAAACCTCACTAAAATAAAAACAACACATATCCACTTTGTCAAATTTAGGTAAATAGATTTAGCACTGATGGCCTGGCATTTATGATGTGACTTCCATGAAATTACCTTATGATTTTTAAAATCGGCATTAGGGGCGTTGTGATTGTATTTTTGGCCAGCCTTCCATAGGACAGCAGGCAGCACACAATGCATCTCACGGGTGAAAATAAAGGTGAGCACAAAGGTTTAGAGCATCGTCTTACATAGGACGTCACAGCACAGCGGTAAGAAAAACCGCCTGAGTTGAAAACTCAACTTGTTCACTTTTTGTGAGTTGTGTGACACTACAGGTGAACTCGAGATGGATGACTACAAGTACAAACTTACTGAGCTTGCGAGAGCCTAACCACTTATTTTGGACCCCAAAACCCTGACTGCCATAACAAAGAACAACGGAAACAAGTTTAGGAAATTACAACCCACGGGTTCTGAATGTGATTGCACTGGTGTCTTGAGTTATGTATGACATTCTAAGATAGTCGAAGAGCAATTTGTCATCTTAACACGTCATCTATGAGCAGAAAGTTCATTGAAACTTTCCTCTTTGCTCTTATTAAGAGAAAATGTTTACATCACCACATGGTACGTTTTTTTCTGTGGGTGGTTGGCGGGTGCTCTGGAGTGGTTCGCTTTTTCTTTCCTATCAAACATCTATCACCCTTATTTCTCCTTCTTTTTTGTGTTTGTTACTCTCTTGTAACACCTCTAATCTTCGGCACTTATATGACCTTGTTGTGTTGCAAGTGCCGTAAAACACTTACTAAAACAAAATGCTTTTTTCTCTTCTTTCCATTTATTAGTAATGCTAGCGCAATCAAAACATCTTTGTCAGAAAAATCCAAGATGACGAAAGGAAGTGTGACTGCCTATGAATTGTCGCATGTCACGCATCCTATGTGAGAGGATCAAGGCCTGTTGCACGTCGTGTGCCCACATATTGTGAGCCGTGAGCTGTGTGCCTTCCTATGGAACGTCGGCCTTAGTAAATCTGGATTTTTAAAAATCCCCAACATGTTAGAGTTAATTAAAGTTATCCATGTCCGACTGTAACTATTTAATCGAAAGACATAAAATTCCCCTAGAAAGAAATTTTAAGAATGTAAACACACTGCAACCATTTTCAATTCGTGCTCATCTGAACATGGAGTATCTTTGTTCTCAGTGACTACTGTTTTTTGGAATCACAACTTTCTGGCATGTCTGGTCCATACAAAAAAATATTCAACTCTTTTCTTTCCATGCAGCTTCACAATTCACAGACATCTGTACAGTAAGTGAAAAAAACTCGGAAGAATAAATCACCATGACATATTTATTAATATTGAACATTTCATCACAAAATGTAGCTCTAAGTCTCTAGGTACAAGATGATGAAATAGGAATTAAAGAGAGCATCCAAACAAAGGTGCTCAATGTTGTTTACGAGGGGGGTGGGTACACATTTCAGGATTATTAGATGTCAGAAAATGAAAGACTAGAGAACACAAATAGAAAGGGGTAGGACAACTTATGAATTTATATGAGATGATCAATTTTGTCCTTCTTGACTGTAGGAGAAAATACTGGATGGGGGTGTTGGATTATGACAGAAATTCATAATAAATACATATTGGTCTTGCTCAAGAAGTTCTTGTAAATCAAACTCTTTGTCACAAACTTACATGGTACAAGTGGAAATGAAGAACCGCGCTTAACATTAAGATTGCAGTTGCACTCATTATTATATTATTATGCAGACAGAGGGGGAGAGGGGGAATAAAAGACACTTCATGTTTCATATCAAACTTAAACATTGCACAGAAATATATATATAAAAATCATCACCATCATTCATCATTTTCCTATGTCAAAATATTAGGTTTTTCAGAAGAAGCAAAATATCTGTTTTATTTCAGTCAGGATTTTATATTAATACAAAACTGTTTTATCAATCTAAATCCCTTCCTATTTCAAGAAGAATGAGACCACAACCAAATAATACCCCTAATCAAACTACAACATTTGATTTTCATTTTTTTAAAAACCTGACCATATAACAATGTTGATTGATGGTGATAAAACGATGGCGACAGTCTGATTCCAATCCTAGGGCTGAAGAAGATGCTACATGCATGCACCCATAATAATGGAGACTATAGTACTATATTTCACTTATTTTAAAACTTGCAACATTTTAGTTTTAGTAAGAGTGTTACAGCACTTGAAAACGCAAAAAAACAAGATTACATGAGTGCTAAAGATTAGAGGTGTTACTACATAGTAACAGACACAAAAAAAAAAGGAGAGAGAGAGATGATAGATGTTTGATAGGAAAGAACAAGAAAACCACACCTGAGCACCAGCCAACCACCCACTTACAACTGTCAACCCAAAGTGGAGACAGTAAATGTCCAAACCCAAAGTGGAGACTACACAATTAACATTTCGCCCAAATCAGAATTTGTTACATTTTCTCCCAAATATCGACTTCAGAACAAGAAGTGACCATATGGTTTTAGAGCCTGCGAGTCAATCAGGTTTTACACTCAAACAAAAACATGACGGAAGAAATGACATTTACAAACCCATCTTCAGTCTTGCCTTGGTAGAAAAGCAAAATGCTGACAAATTAATGGTTACCAGACCCGGAACTGGGTTGGCCAAGATGTAGAAATAAAAGTAGAATTGCCTGATACTGATACACCCCCAGCGTAACTGTTCAAATTGGTCACTACTGACAGATAGAATTAGGTATCACTTTCTTAAAATGAAATCATTTCAGAAAATCATTCTGGGAGGACAGAGAGAAGTGCACAATTTGGCTGCACCCTACTGCAAATTTAAAACATGCCAGAGTATGCTAGTAACTCTGGAGAAAATGTATAGCACTTATGAAATTAGTAATTTATGGGCGGAAAGACTGAATAAACTTCTCCGTCAGAAAAGTTATTTGAATTTAATCTGTCCCGGTACCACCTGGTGTAACTGATGACTGAAAATATTCTTAGTTCATTATGTTTAACATCACGTAATCACATTTTTAAAGGGTTTTTTTTAATGCAATTTTTAACTTCACCTTTTACAAATAAACATCTCACCATTACTCTGTTTTTCATTTATCCTCTCACATTTATCACGGCATGGAGTGAAGGGACTATAAGGCTCTGTGTCTTCTCCCTTAAAATGATCATTTTTCCATCCAAGACTCCATTCACAGCTCCCCATCCCAATCATAGTGTTATTCTGACATAGCTGAGCACAGCTGTACTGTCTTCCACTAGACGTACAAGTAAAGACTAAAGCACTGTTGGTGACCAACTGCTGTTCCGTTGCAGTTCGAGGCCGGTCAGGAAAAGAAGCAGCCGCATTTCTTACTGAAAAGCAAAATTACAACACCAAGAAAAAAATCACAGGCGGGAACTGTAAAATTTGCATTCGGCTGAAAATGAACTGTACCAACACCACCTCCCAAAACAGGACTCTTCAGCTCCCCCTGCCCTGGCCTGCTCAAACGTGTCATCAAACAAAACGTGTAATGTACTCCTTTTCATTAATGGAAATAAGTTAACAGATACACCTTGTTTAATTTTTTCCCTTGCACTTAGAAGTTTGAAGACCTATGGTTTTAACTAGTTCATTTAGTAGATTACTAGGATTTCCCTTGTCCTTTTACTGAGCCCTAACTGTCAAACACTTTGCGTAACAGCCAAAAATTAAACAAGAGAGAAAAAAATAATCTCAATCTCAGTCAAAGTGATCCCCCTCTGAAGCTTACAAAGATGTGGGAGAAGCAAAGATAACGCCAGACTGCCCACCAACCTTCTGAATGGAGACAAGTGAGAAGCACACACATCAATAATTGTGTTGCAGAAGTGTCCACCACAAAGCAAGGGGGGGGGGGGGGGGAAGTGACAGCATGCATGACTAAAGCCTCCATACAGTCACTGGAGAGCAAAAAAATACAACAACAAAGCAGACAGTGACAGAGAATAAAGACTGACGGTATCACAAATGGCATCAGACCTTCCAGTTATAAAGTTTGACACGCACTGGTTAAATAATACATCAACACTGACTGACAACAGCAAAAAAATTAACTGACTAGAATCAAGAGCATATATATGTACACACGTCTATCCTGCTTGATGCTTTGTCTCCTGTATACAAACATGAGAGTCTGTACCCATTTAAAATCAAACTTGAAGACAGTTCATTCCATGAAAAGATGCAGCTTCTATATTGAAAAAAATTTGTTTAAAAAAATAAACATTGACAAAAAATAAAGTAAAAACCCCTTTCTATACTGATGGCTTGCCTTTGCAACTTCGCAATCCATAGGTAGTTTGATAAGCAAAGTACAAAGTGGCCTAATATGTACTGTTTACAAATTACAAAGCAGTGCCGAACTAAGACCAAAACAACAAAATCAAAAGTACATCACGGATCTTGAGTGAGCACTGTGCTATACATAGCTGAAAAAGCAACTAATGCCATCATCACTGAAAACAGAATTTAGGCCTACAGTTCAAAAGTGATGAACCAATTTAATCCTAAACAGGGCTTTATTTTCACATCAGCATTAAATATGAATGGCAAGTAAATTTTGCATTAATAATATTTAGCTGTTCTTATTCTTCTTTTCAGTTTCCTATGAGCCTTCAGGCATGAGTACTTTTATCAATGATAAAAATTCCATTGCTCAGAGCCTGTGTACTTTATTCGGGGTTGAGCGCTATATAAATGTCATTTATTCATTATTAAAACAGAGTCTGTCGCTTACACATTCTTTTCTTATGGCTGCCACACATAACTTTTTCTCAAAAACTTGGGACACCTGGACCGAGGAGCCTTATATAAGATCAAAAAGCAATTAATAATATCAAAATTTGTTTGGAAAAATAACCTTTAGCATACTTTGATACACCTTTGCAATATCTTTAGACAAATCTAACGTACAGGTCATACCAACTTTATAATGTGACCTTTCAGAGAGTGCGCGTAAGTAAAACAGAAAACATGACACACAATTGTACAAACTGGTTATCGAACACAATCACAGGACCTTTTGAGAAAAGCACTTTATCTCCATAGATGATGAAGCTTGTCAGTAGTGGGTAGCATAGCTGGGCTGGTACGGGGAGATGAGGAGGGGGCGACTCCTCAAAATTACAACTTTCAACATAAAACCTTAACAGTGAGGTTTCCCCTCCAAAAAGACCAGAAATAAACTTTTACAGAAACAATTAAGAGTATTAACATAAAAAATTCAAAGAAATCGGGGAACGCACCCAACTTGACTTAATTAGAAAATTACATCTTATTCTGTACTGGGCCTCAAAATTTCTGTACATAAACGCCACGTATACACAAGCAAGTGTGAGTCAACAAGACAAAAGTTCATTTTCACTACTATGTACATTCTACAAGAGACTAATTTAAACTGGTGGAACAAAAAAAAAAAATCTTATACATAATAAACCCTAAACCTTTGAAATTGAAAAAGCTCAACCCATAATAAAAAATTCTTTTATCCCCAAAACCTAACAGTTTTTAAGACCGTAAAAAAAACCCAAACACTTTTGTAACAGAAATAATAGAGGTGTATTGACTGAAAACTGAAAAATAGAAACATCCACATCCAAAAGCAATGATATTGGTAAGCTCCATTTAAAAAACTAATTACACTGCAACAATGGTGATTTCACCTTTAGACTGTAGCTGTTTTAAATTCGAAATGTAAAACACTCCTTCAAACTTAACCTAACGAACGCTCAAGACTGAAAAAGCATGCTTTCTTCTTCCAACATGGGACTTAGGACAAACCCAACAATTAACATTATACTGAATTTTTAAAAAAATCAGGGCAACAGAGAGGTGTTTCCAAAAGATATCCACATGAAGCCTGAGTATAATGACAAGCCTTCTGAGCTAATAGATTGAACTGGATGTCTTTTTTTTTCAAAATATAGTCTATTTTGGTTATAAACAGATAATTAGATTTTTCGCCCTTCACAGGCAATACTATATGAAAAAGCACACAAACTCATACACATATATTTGGGTATTACAAATAATGACAAAGTAAAAACTTGCTATCTGGACATTTCAGTGTAAGCATAACACATAAAGTAGCACCAATTTTACAAGCACGCACAGGCAAGGAACTTCTTACAACAACATCATGACTAGAAAATGGTTGGAGCCATAGAATTATTTAACTAAAAAAAACTTGCATTCAAACATAATTGTGTCACGACGCAGTGGAATCGGGCGCTTGTCAATTTTGGGGCATATATGGAGTTAGTTATTGGTATCTCGTCTTAAAGCCTGTCCATTTGCCTTGCTTGTGATGAAAAAAATATCCATTTATCTCGGATACGAGCCAAGATATTGGTGATTGAAGGAGGTCGGGGCCACCTTGTTTCAGATGTAAAATTAGCGAATAAATGGCGGCTAAAGTTAAGTCATTTCCTTAGTTTGAGAATCTGTGGAAACTGAAAATTTACATCTTTTATACCTTTAATCAGCGTTTTCCAGTAAAATCCGTACCGCAATCTGTTCTTTAATGGGCAGGAAAGGTGTTGAGGCAAAAAACAAAAATTCGATAAAAATTGCAAAACCTGCGGAAGAAAGCTGATTTCTTTGATTTCATTATTTTGACGAGCGCCTGATTTCACCACGCTGCCTCACAATTGCTATTTTGTACTATTTAATTAACTTTTAAAAATGTATAAATTAATACAGAAGAAGCAGAAAAAGATAAACTTACTTTCAGAGAAACAAGTTTGAAATAAAATAAAATCAACTGGAGATCATAAAAGCATAAAGGGTGGATTTCTCTGTATCAACATGCAGTGATTATTGTATTTTTTTCAAATGGTAGAATCAAATAGCCAGAAGGAATAAGGAGTAGGTTGATCTTCAAGGAAATGAAGTACTCAGAGTAGTGTAGGAAGTTAGTAGACCATGTGAATTTCAAAGGAGAGTGAAATGTTTTTCAGCAGTTATGCCACATTTACAAATCTTGATTGGACGACTACCTGACATTCAGTCTGATTTATTTGTATCATAAAATAAATACAAGGAACCCTTTTTATGTTTTAATGTTTTTGATAAGGACTGTCAAACACTGCTTTTGCAACACTTTAAAATTAACTACTTGATAAGTATTTACCTAAAACAAACTTGCAGAAACTTTGAATGCACTTTTCTTCACTTACATTTAGAAAATACTTATGATTTATATCAGGATAAGGACAACACCTGCTCACACAGTGATACAGTTGTCAAAATAGTGACAAAATCTATTCCTCAGACTAAACTTTCTCTACATAGGCAATCTCAGAATTATCAGGTACCTCAAGCAATGTGACGAGCTATAAGTAAGACCACACAGAAGTGGTATGAAAATAGTTTGATAGCAACAGAATAAGTAGCACATAAAGGACAATATAAAAAAAACAACTAAAAGAGCAAAAATATGAACAGCATTTCACCACAAAGTAAGAAGGAATGACAAAGGACTGTTGAGAGAACAGATTTGGAAGCTAACGCAAACATGTGTAGTACTTTCAATACTTTCAAAGGGAATAAAGTGAAGTGCTGTTGACCACTGTTGTAGTCTGCAGAGTGTTTTTGAGGTAGCCATCTGCTTCATGACTATCACAACATAAGATGAAGGAAAGGAGGGGGGGAGTACAAAGGAAAGCTGCTCTTCATTATCAAATAGGTCAGGTACACAGTAAAGCTTTAAGGAACTTGCATCATTCTGAAAACAAACAAAAACAGGGAAAACCACAAAGCACAAAATACTGTTAAAAGATTTTCTCAAAACCACATCACATTCTTTCACAAATATAAACCACTTGGGCCTCAACCTACCTTTTCCACCTACTCACACCTCTCTAGTATTAGAATTCAAAAACACAATTTTGATTTCAGTTAGAGGTCAAAGTTTGCTCCATCAATATTGAATTGTATGCGCAGCATTGACTAGAAGGAGTTCTTTCACACGTGCATATCTTATTTTTCAAACAAAAAGGTTATAATTGGAAAAAACGTGAATGTCAGGACTTGGAAGGAACTTATGTGCTTCACGGGTTTGATGATTTCTGCTCAGTTTACTAAGGCCTCGAAGAATCAGAGAGGAACGTAATGGAATCAGTTGGCACAGCCGGGCTTTGATGTCTGGGCCCACAACTTAGCTGCTCACGATGGAAGACATGTATGAATGACATCATCGTTGGTGATAGGAATTTGTGACCTTTGGCAAAATGCCTAAGGACGAAATGTGATGCAAAGATGGTAAAAGATCATGTTGGTGAGCTCAAAACTTTGAAACTATACAATTACAGTCTGGTCAGTATGGGGAAGTACACAAATTAACTTAGCTTTCAATTCAATTTATCTCCAATGGTGAATTCAAAGGAGATTACAGATCTGAAGCATTTGGCACCAATAAATTAAACTTTGACCCTAAAAGATAATTTGCTGTTTGGTAAAAGTTTACCCCTATTGTCCTAATGAGTCACTGAGGGCACTACTGTTAGAAACCCAAAGATAAAATCTGAAGAAACAGAAGAGAAAGACATGAAAACGAAATAAAACAACTGATATTGATATTAGTACTAATAAAATCAGATTTCTTAATGCTTTAATTATAATGCATTTCATGTGCTCACCAGTGGCACGCACTGTACAGACATGAGAATATTCTCTGTGCGTTGGATTTTCAAGTGACTTCAGCGTGTATGGCACGAAACAAAACCTCAGCATGTGTATTGAGTCACAAAATTCTGTGCTGAATACAAGCAGATGATAATCTCCACATATCAAAAGAAACAAGTCTTTTCCTGCCCTGTAACTATTGCCATAAACGGCACTTGTTTATTCCTAAACTAAAATCATACAGACACAGGATAATATTCGCATGCAATAGCAAATAGAAAAACAGCTCTCTTTGGCTGTATGTATCTCTACAAACCTGCCCTGCTCTATTTCTCTCCACATCTTCAGTTCGAACATGTATTTGAACCCACTGTAACATCTACAGACACTGACCACAACCAACCTTCTAATGCTACTAGACTGATTTACTATGTGTAGCAAGCATTGTTGAGTAAGTATGTATACATATATATATATATAAATATATATATACGTATATAGACAGGTGGTACAAGATATGTAAAGCTATTAGACAGAAGCTAACATGGTCATTAAAAGAAAGACCTACAAAAAACACACACAAGTCTCCAATAAATAATTTGTACAAACACGACACTGTCAGGTTGTCATGAGGGGTGAAAGGGAGGCAGGAACCGCGATGTAAGTAAGAACAGGATGAAAAAATGCTATTGATAATACAAACATTCAACGAGCATACACACAGTCATCCATGATCATTGGTTATGCAGTAATACGTACCACAGGGTTATGAAATTATAAAATCTTGGTTGAGAAAAACAATAATAGTTCTAGTGTCTTTTATTTGGTAATCCAGAAAAGCTTGCATGTTCTTGTTGTGATCGTCTCCTTTATCATCTGAGATAAATACAGAGGAAGTTTTCATAAATACCAACACGGCAAGCTGGATCTTACTCCAGGGTAGTGAGCTTTTGTCACTCTGTGAGTCCATGGCAAAAAAAACAAACATTCGGCTGTGACATGCGCCATACTGCTCAAACGATGTCCAGTCAGATTGCCATTTCTCTCATGGCTGGGGCTAGCAACATGGTGCGGGTTCTCTCATGGCTGGGGCTAGCAACATGGCTGGGGCTGATAACAAGGCGATCTCACTTTCCAGCTTCCAAGAATGCAACCAGAAATAATCATTGGAAACGTAAAGGGCCTGGTTGTCTACCAAATCAGCTAGAAAAGGTTTTCCCTCTCTGTGATACAGGAAGAAACTATTCCCTTCACAGACAGTTGTTCTAGCAGCAAACAGATGACCACAAAACTTCAGATGTACTATAGGTCTGTTCAAATGTCATTGCAGCATCATCCAGGGCGAAAATTTTTAACATGATCAGAAAAAGGTTACTGACGTTGGCTGAGGTCAATAACTAGACAGTTGAGTATCTTTGGATCTTTTAGGGGGTGGGGGAGGAGGCTTGGGCTTTTTTCCTGACCCAGAAGTTCTGAAAGAATCACTCTCTGACTGAGATAGTCCCACCAAGAGCTCTGGAGGTGGAGGAGGGAGCTCATCAATATCCATAATACCATCGTAGTTTTCGTAAATTGGATCTGATATCAAACCAGAAGCTCCATTTTGAACAGGGTCGGCGGTGGCCAGAGCAGGGGAGGAGGGAGGTTTAGCGACGTCTGCTGACAAGCGTGTATTCTCACTACGCTTGGGAGGAGGAGGGGGTGGAGCTTTGCGGTCTCCTTTGCTTACCCCGCCTCCTGCTGAGGCTGATCTCCGGTGCTGATGAGCGCTGGGAGACGACTGACCATTGCGGAGTTCCACTCCAGACTTATCAGCTCCTGCTGCATCTGGGTGTGAACGCTTAGAGAGTTCAGACAGGAAGGGCAAAGATGGAGACTGTGGGCATCCCACCAGGTCCTCAACTTGTCCGCCACTGAAACGACTATTGTGCGGGAGTGATGACGTGTTTGACACACTGCTGCCCTGGGGCGGCTTTCCTTTTGGCTCCACGCCTGGTGCCCCAGGTTTTTTCTTCTGATTCGCCATCAGGCCAGGGGGGCCGGGTGGCGGTGGGGGAGGGGGTGTCTTCATAGTGTTTGTGGGCAAGTTTGGAGCAGGAGCTACCGGTGAGCTTTTGGGTAGCGTGGGTGGCGGAAGTTTCGGTGTGATAGGTGGCATAGGAGGCGGCATGGGTATGTGACGAGGTGAACTGTTGGTAGAGTCGAAGCCAGACTGAGAGGAAGCAATAGAATCGTGGCTGGCCATTCGCAGGGGTGGAGGAGGTGGCGGATGTTTTGGAAGCCCTGCAGTAGCTGCTGCTGCTGTAGACGACGATGGAGGTGCAGCTGGTGCCTGTGGTGGTGGGGGTGGTGGCGGCTGAGACATTGCCGATACAGGTGGAGGTGGAGGTGCTTGCTGAGGTGCACTGATGGGTCCATGATTGCTGTGCTGAGGTTTTGGCAGAGTGGGGGGAGGGGAGGACTTGGCAGATTGAGCGGAGGAAGAAGAGGATGTGATAGAGCTATAGAGAGATTCCTTCACCCCAAGATGTGCTGAAAGAGGGGGAGGAGGAGGGGCGGAGGATTGAGCAGAAGAACTTTGAGGAGCGATGGGAGGAGGGGGAGGAGGGACTTGCATAGATGCTACCGGTGGGGGAGGAGGGGGAAGAGGTGGAGATGGTTCGTGCCCAGAGGTGCGGAGGGCGGCTCCATCTTCCCGGAACTGAGGGGGAGGTGGAATTGCAGAAACTGATTCCTGTGCCTTTGCAGGACGCCTGGCTGTGTTGGTTGGGCTCCGGATCTGGTTGTACAGGGGCTCTGTGTCAGCATGAGGCTGTTGTGACTCACTTGGGACAGAAACTACGCCAGTTTCTTCAGCTACTGATGAATACACGGTGGAGTAGAGTGCATTCGACCCATACATGGAGCCATTTGCTGGAGCAGAACTAGTGGTGTCATCCTCTATTAAAGCGCTGACGGATGACTCACTTTTTCTGCGAACATGACGACTTGTTGAGGCTCCCTCTGGGACAGGACTGTTTTGTTTTCTTGAGATCGTCCCGCTGTCCACAGAATGCTGCTTAATTGGAGGGGATAAAGGAGGGGCTCGCGGCTGAGACAAACGTTGAGAAGAACTGTCGGAACTAGCTGAACCGCAAGAACCTCTGCGTTCAGTCATGGATGCTCGCCGCCTCTCTGAGCGAGTAAATGCGGAGGAAGAAGACGAAGAAGAATTGGTGCGACTGTAGTGGTGGTGGGGAGTCTCCGCATAAATCGCTTCGGGCGTCTCGTCTACTGTAACGTTGCACATGTCCGCTAGCTGTCGAGTCGTCTCCGTGGTAAGCGGGAGTTTCGGCCGCATCTTTCCTCCCCTGAAACTGGCCCCCAGCCTGGCCTCCCCGCTTCCGCCACTCGAGTTGGAGTCCTCGCTGGAGTCGGTGGAGGCACTGATGATAGAGTCGCGGTGCTTGACCGTCTGCTCGCCGGAGTCTCCGTTGATGATGCTGTGTGTGGCGCTGAAGGAGACGCGCTTGACCGGAGTTTTATGGCCGGCCTCGGAGGCTGCTGAGCTCAGTGAGGAGCTGCCTACAGACCCACTCAGAGACCTGGGGAAAGAGCACAAAACAAATGTGTCAGTTTGAGACTCCGACCACCCGTCAAATATGTTAGAGTTTGAATGCATAGAAAAAGGAACACATGCATCAGTGTTGGTACCAAAAGTGACTAGAAATCCAACAGGTTGGCATTAGCATGTATCAAAAGCTGTTGAATTGTAAGTCAACACAAACAGATAAGGATTATAATAACATTCAACAGAAGCGGAAGTGGCACACTTTATTAGAGAACCAACCAACCATTTACTGCTTCAAACTTTACCATAGAAAAAACATGTACTTTAAACCACTCACGGAAACAATACTTTGTTAACCCAAAACAACACACATGTATAACCTAGGTAAAGATAAAGTAGTACAACAAGGTCTGCTACCAACAAAAGAAGTTTCTTTTACACATACTTATGAGAAAATGACTGCAGGAGGAACATTAACCCTTTGAATCTGAAATTCTGTTTTAGCGGGACAGCTCTGATTTCTCTGTTCTCTGAGATCCCACTTCAGAGGGATCAGCAACACTTTTCCCATTAGTGCACTTCTATTTCTATTGAATGAGAATTTAAAAAGCTATTAAGTGTGGGACTGAAGCAGGAAGTTGTTTGTTTGTTTGTGTAAGTGTTTTATGGCGCTCGCAACTGCATAAGGTCATATGAGCGTGCGGGACACGCCTAATATTTTCAGTTGGTAGGAAATTTTGAATTTTGCCCGGGTGGCGGCCGAAGCCTACTCTTATAGATTTTAGACCACCATGGGATCTTTAAAGTGCACAACTTGCACACGGGACCTCCGAGATTTTTCGCCCTTGTCCGAGAAGGCTAGGTGTAGATCTTTCCTACCAGAAGATCAGGGGTGTGGCTGAAAGACAGCAGTAAGAAGAAGCCAATGAGTAGCAGTAGAAAGGCTGCAGAAAGAATCAGGAGCCCAGAGGAGGGGGCAAAGGATGTGAAGGGGTGGGGGGCAGAAAGAGGAGACGAAAGCAGATGACAGAACATTGCTGGAGAGTAGGAAAGGAGGTGAAAGGAGACAAATTTGGAGAAGAAAATTTTTTGGTCGCTACCCGGATTCTAACCCGGGACCTTTGAATGAGAGGCGAACACCTTAACCTCTAGGCCACGAGAGCCCCGAGCAGGAAGTAATTGAGAGTTTGCATCATTATATTTGAAAGAAAGAAGTGTGTTCGAAGCTGTTTGCGAAGAGTTTAACGAGCTCATCAGTTCCACCCATCAACCTCTGGGATAGGTGCTCAGGTGTGGGGGGTCACAGTGGATTCAGAAACTCCGGGTTCAAAGGGATAACATCTGAATTAATTTGCAACCTTTAAGAGTAGTAAATAAGTTCTAAGGAGAGTACCTTCCATCCGAACCGCCACCCGATTCTGAGCCTTTGCGAGGTGGAATGGCTAGAACCTCAATGCTCATCACGTCACGGCCAGCCTCTCCCATACTGGCTGAGTTCCTGACCAAGGTTGAGTTGTGCACCTGTAGACAAGTCGGCAAATGGGTCTTCAATTGCAAGTTGGTAATTTAAGAGAAAAGACCCCCAAATCACAGAAAGATAAAGAGAGTGGGTGAGTGAGAGAGAGATAGAGAGAGAGAGGAAAGCAGAAAGAAATAGAGAGGAAGAGAAGGACAGGGATAGAGAAAGACAGATAGAGAAATGAAAGCAGTGACAGAGAGAGAGGCTAGCTGAAATAGAGAAAGAGACAAGTAAACAGAAAGAAATGAGGGAGGAGGGAGAGAGAGCGAGAGAGCGAGAGACAGAAAGAGAGAGAGAGAGTAAGAGAGAGAGAGAAAGGGGGTAGGAGGAGGGGGGGAGAGATAGTAGGTGAGACATGAAGATAGAGTGAGATGCAGAGAGTGACTTCCTATTTGGTATATTGACACACAAGCAGTATCATCATTACACATCTTCACAAAATTAAAATCATTTCCATTACTTTCCTGTGTGGACATATACTTAACCTACATCAATCATCTTTTCTGTATTAAAAAAATGAAAATTTTCAGAAGTAAAAACCGCTTGACTTTCAAACTGAATCCCATTTATAGATACAAGCTTATAGTTTCAACAAATAGTGTTTCCTGTGGTATTTTATCACACACATCTGAGTTTAGAAATATCATGTCATGTGATAAGACCCTCTGCTTCCCAAACTTTGGCAGTCATTTTCTCGCTAATTTTACCTCTGAAACAAGGAGACCTTGACCTCCTTCAATTGCAAATACTTCGACATCTATTCAACAAAGATGGATTTTTTTTTTACCAAAAGCCAAACAAATTAACAGGATTTAAGATAATATCAATAACCCCATACGCCCAAAAATTGAAGAGCGCCCGATTCCACCACGTCGTGACACATATGCTACTGATAGCTCTCTCACCTGTATGACGGAGTGTCTTGACCCGGGCTCCGGCACTGACATGCGGCTGTCGCTGAGGTCAGCATGGTTTAGCATGCGACACAGCGTGTCATCTGGCGGCACTGAGCTCCCTCCTGGCTCCGGGGGTCTCATGTCCCACATTGAAATCTCGTGCGTTAAATGCTCGTAATTATGAAGCATCTGTTTTCCCAGCTGTAAGTATCAGCAGCAAGAAAGAAACAAAAAGATTTTCATAGATAATATAGAGCAGGTACAGGGGTCTTGCATTCACAAAATGAGTCAACAACTGATTTGTCAGCTGGTATTGTTTGAGTTTAGAGGAGCACACTGAAACTGTAACAGTCATTTAGTGCTGGCTAAAAAACAGACAGACAGAGACAGGAACCTTAGAAGTTAGAGGGAAAGAACAAAAATAGGACCTGCAAATGGAACCTTCCAACCACCCAACTGGTATTAAAAGAGTTGCACAGTCATCGATAATACTCGATTTTAAAAAACAATAACTATATAGAGCATACTTCATAGAAGAAAGTACTTTCTTTTCTGTTTTTTAAACAAAAACCAATGTATTTCACATGAGAAAAGATACTTTCATTTTTTTAAAACCTAGAATACTACTGGCAGAGAAAGAAGGGATTTAATTTTTAAAACTTATCATATTCTAAGATAAAACATTTTGAGCTTTGAGCTTTTTCATTCTGTTCTCACCTTGACTGTTCTCACACCCATGACCCACTGATCCAGGGCTACTTCAGAGTCAGCGCAAAAGTATCGGATGTACTTGGAAGTCTTCTTCTGGATTTGAGGATGCTAAAAGAAAAGAGTAAAAATGGTTTAATTAAAGAGATGAAAAGCAACATGAAAAACAGGTTTTTTTAAGCACAATCAGTTTGAGCTACATTCTCTGGGATTATATATTTTTTTTTGCCTGTGACTTATATACATTATTACTTGTTCAAATATACAGGTTGATCGAAAAAAAAACTTCCCAATTTTTTTAGGGTAAATATTTTTATCCACAGTGAAGCTTTGCATTTCAAATTTGAACACAACGTTTGGGAGTCAAAAGGAAGGTGGCTGAAATTCATCAGTATTAAAATCTTTTTCTAAATTTTGGACATAGTACATTTTGACATCTGGTCAACAAAATGCATTATTAGCAACAGTCTGAAAGCTCTCACACCCAACAAGCCAGTCAAAGACAAAATTATCTTCACGTTTACCTTGAGGGCAAAGCAGTAGTCGGTGGGCGCATGATACTTCTTCTTCCAGCCTAGGCCACGGTACACCTCCACATACTCAAACTGTACTAGGCACACCAGGTCCTTGGGGTTCTGATACATACAAGATAAGATGAAATAAGATAAGATAAGATATGATAAGATAAGAAAAGATTTCTTTCTTAGTTCTTAGTGGTATGTATCTGCCGCTGCGTGATCTTACACATAGACACACAAAGGACAAGTTTGAGATAATGACTATGTTATTTGGAAGAGGGAGAACAGGTTTTTAGGAGGCGGCTGAAAGCAGAGAGATGGAATGGGAGGGAAAGAGTCTGGTGAGGGAAGTAGGTGGTTGAAAGTGAAGATGAAACAGGGTAGGAGAGAGTGAAAAGAGATGGCTGAAACAGAACAAACAAAAATAAGGGACAAGAAGCTGGTAACCTACTTTTCAATTTTCATAAATCTTTTGAGAACAAAAACTGGAAAATTGTAATGCTGGTGTGCCAGTTTAATTTTCCAAATTTTATTGACCACAGATCAATATTATTTGTCTTTTTATAGCCATTTCCTAAGAGAATACCCTAAAAACTGCACCAGCCATTCCGGTCTACATCAAAGAGTATCAATAACCTTAGAGCCTTCACCATGTCACATGTCTTTGCCAAACTAGAAAACTTCCGGCTTTGGGTGTAGAGACCACATAGGATCTACACAAAGAACAACATGAAGACTACAAGACCAAAAATGGCAAAGTCACAATGTGGTGGTTTTGAAAAATTTCAGAATCAAATCTTAAAATCTCACATCTTACAGAAAGATATCACATTTTCTGCTGCCATTTTTCTCCTTTAAAAATCATGTTAAGGGAAATTGTAGAGTCATGGAGCCCCAAATAAACATGAGACTAGATCTGTTTTCCGGTCTTCTCCATATCTTCCCGTCTCGTAAACAAAACCACAGGAGTACACACCTTGCTGGCTTTTCCTTTGGGGTTATAGTAGAGACCAGAGGCCCGGAGGACGAAGAAGAATTTCTTCCAGGCCTTTTTCCCGTCAGACTTCAAGTACAGGGCGCCTTCCATAGACGGGACACACACGTTATCGGGGGCAAAGAAATCCTGAGGAAATACAGAAAGAACAATGGTGGGTTGGTTTATTCTACTTTCATCTCTCTCCTTCTCTTTCTCTGTCTTATCCGCCTCCCACCCCCTTCCTCTTTTAATGTGTTTCTGTGTTTGAGTATGTTTGTTTGTGGTTAAGTATGAAACATGAAGAATTATTGGAGGCAAAAAGAAAATGGATAAAGAGAGGTGTGTTTGCTTGTTTGAGCAAGATGTTTTCTGGCACTATAGTCTCAATTAGAGAGAGAGGCTGAAATGTGGGGAGACAGGAGATATGGTTCATTACAAAGGCAGCTAGTAAGACTAGCACACAGATAGACAAATGGTCTTGTGTTGGACAAATTCGTTTTTCTTTTTAACTACTTGCAGTTGTAAGTTACTCTGCTGTGTATAAATCTAGCCTATTGCCTGAAAAAATTTCTTTGAAAGCTTTTAGTTTTCTCCACTTTAAAAAAAAGGTTAACAAACACAAGGCAGAAGTCTACTCACACTTCCAAAAGAAAAGTAAGTAAGATTGTTTTGCTTGTTCGTTTAAAAATGGGGTAACAACAACCCAACAAAGTACCTACCTGTATAAGTTTATCTTTCTGTTGTGGAGTCAGCTGTCCTGTCTTCATGGTGGAAGAATTTAGCAGGTATTTCTGAAAACAAATGTGTTAACAATAAGACAACAGTCATTTGTACCCACCAGGGGTAACAAGTTTACAACAGACATAACTGGACTGATATAACAACATGGGACCTCTCAGTCACACATAGTTGGTTCAATACCATTCCATCTCAGCCAAACAGGACACCATCTGCTACAAGCCTGCCCAGTGCTCGAGGTACATAAAAGGAAATACTGGCCCAACCCTCGGCAGGCAAACCCAAAACTCTACAGGAGCGTGGAGGATCTGCAGAGAACAGCAGCCCTCGCATTCGAGACTGGGATGTCCATTTTGAGATGAATGAGAAGAAGAAGAAGACATTGCACTTGGAGGCTAAGAGAACCACCCAACCCTGGACCTTCTCAGACTTCCACAGCGTGACAGTACATGAGATCCATTCTGGGATTGGACGAGGGCCTAACAAATAAGCCACTGACGCCACAACACCCACCATCAAACAGTTCTATTCACCTTCAATTCTACCCTTCCCGTAACCCCATGACAGGGGCCTTGGGGCATCGAAGATCAATCTGGTACAGAAAAAATAAAAATTGTTAGTTGCACTAGTTCTTATGCATTCAATCAACCAGTTCAACATATCACTTTGATGAGCAATTTTTCATCATCGCCTTTTTGTTGTGCCAACCCAAACTAAAATCCAAAAAAGAAAAATACTTTGGAACAGTTTTCTTCATCATTCCCATCATAAGTAGAAGTTGATTACGAAGTGAAGGAAAAACACACATTGAAGAGTAGCCAAGCTATAGTCAGAGTAATTTTCTCACAAAGAAATGATGACTGACAAGAGGGAAAAAAAAGACGACGACGACACACGAGCAGCAAGCTAAGGTACTTCCGGTACACAAGAATAGTACTCAACCAGAGAAATCAATTTAAAAACGGAAGACCTTTATATGTACCACTCCATGATTTTCCCCATCTATTATCACAAGAAAAAGAGCAGAAAGGTCAAAATACACAAAATACAAGACAGTTTGTATTAGAGAAGCTAGTGAAAACGCATTGTCAGATTCTTCTGAGAATGATGGATCCAAGGGTAAAAATTCAAAGGCTGCTAAACTTTTCAAAATTTTTAACAATTCAGTCGATTAAAAAAAAAAAACACATCACAGAAATCCCCTTATTATCAATTTTATTTTGTCTTTTACAAAACAAGACTAGAGTCTCGCATGCAACTGACCTCAGGATTGCGGAACAGGTCGTACTTGTCCATCCTCTCCTCAAACATGACCTTGTTCTTGGAGTCTCGCGTCCACATCACCATGCTCTCCACCAGAGAGTCGTGATCCTCCAGAATTCGCTCTGGGGAGATAGACAGAGATGAATAAAAGTCTGTTTCAAAGCATTATTGACCACCATGTTGCCTTTTTTCCTTTACAAAATGTATATGTTACATAATATATAGTAGAGTTTTATGCCACTTGCAACACAATTTAATGACAAAAGTGCCAAAGTTTAGAGGTATTACTTGAGAGTAATAAACACAAAAAAGAAAGAGGAGCAATAACGAACGACAATAGATTTTTGATAGGACAGAAGGAGCAAATCACACCATAGCACCTGCAAACCACCCACACAGAGATGAACAAAGGCTGTTTCAAAGCACTATTTAACATCAGTGGGTTATTTTAGCTTCAGCATTGGGAGAAGCACTGTCACATGACAACAGCTTTTCATGTTCGTTCATTTGAATACAAAGAAACACAAAGACACAGTAACGGTCATTCAGTGCTGGGAAAAAGCAAGAAAGACGTACAAAAAAACAGAGGGAGATAGCAGAAACAGATTACAGTAAAGTAACACACAAAAAAACAACAACAACTAAAGCCTTTTCAAACAATAAATGGCTGTTTTGACATCAGAAAATAAGTGTCTATTAACAAGTAGGCCCTCTATATATAAATCGAAGCCAAAGCATTTGTGATTAGGCACTTGCATGTGTATAATATGAGTGTGAGTATGTGTGTGTGTGTGAGTGTGTGTGTGTGTGTGTGT